TGCCTGCCTCAGCTCCTGAGTGCTGGGATTATAGGTGTGTGCCACCATGCCTGGCATTTTTTTTTTTTTTGTATCAGGGATCAAACTCAGCCTCAAGCTTGCCAGGCAGGCACTTGTGCCACAGAACTAAGTCCCCAGCTAGTTTTGTCTTTTTGAGACAGGGTCTTGCTATTCAGTTCAGGCTGGCCTTGAACTCACTTTGTAGCCCAGGCTGGTCTCGAACTTGCAACGATCCTCCCACCTCAGCCTCCTGAGTGCTGCTTGTGCTCTCTCATAGTTGGTTCATTATTGAGACTGAAAAATACTATTGTAGTGTTAGGGTCATAACCCCAGATGTTGGAGAATGGCCTAGGAGGGAAGCTGAATACAAGTGACATGGACCATAGAGAAGAATAGAGATGGTGACGAATCTTTGGTAAATACTGTAATCCTCCTTTGACTCAACGCTTAGTGGCTGTTTCTTTTTCTTTTCTTGTTTTTTTTTTGGGGGGGGGTGGGAATTGAAGTCATGACCTTCTGTTTGCCAGGCAGGTACTGACTGTTACTTACATAAGGCACAACACAAGGATCAGTCCAACACGCATATGTAAGGGGCTAATTTCAAGGAATTTATGATCTGGTTAAAGAAATAGGTTATATATAGCAAGGCGAGGTGATTGACTGTATATATTCAAAGATGCCACATAATTTACAGTAAATACTTAAGCCAAGTGCTACAGGACTTCAAAGGAGGAAGGATCATTTTGGGAGAGAGTGCTAGGGTTGCATTTCAGAATAGAGGATTGAAGGCTGAGGGAGGTGTAAGTAGCAGAGATAAGAAATAGCCTGCTGAAGGGAGCCAGGGATGGGGAGGAGAGGAAGGAAGGGAAAAGAAAAAAATGATGAGAAAAGAAGGAGACAACGGAAACAAACTTTTATAAATGGGGGAGGGGGATTTAAGGGAGAGTAAGAGAATGGAAAAAGAGAATCAAGTTGTGTCATGTACAGGGTCAAATTCCCTGTGATGAGTGTGATCCTTATGTATATCTCAAATGTACAATGAACTTAATTAAAAAGAAAAGCAATAGCTGTCTACTGCAAACAATGGCAGAGAGACAATGTCCTAGACAGAATGACGTGGGGAGAGGAATCATGGTGAAATCAGCCAGAGACCATGGTCCTCAAGTGGTAAACTTGATACCAGCAGAGAACAAGCCACACCTGGTTTTCTTTCTTTCCTTTTTTTTTTTTTTTTTGTACCAGGGATCAAAATCACAACCACATGGCAGCTTTTTTGACTTTTTTGTTTTGGTTTGGTTTTTTTCATTTTTATCGGTACCAGGGATTGAACTCACAACCCCACACTTGCAAGGCAGGCACTTACACCACTGAGCTAAATCCCAGCCCCTTGACTTTTTGAGACAGGGTCTCACTATGTAGCCCAGGGTGGCCTACAAATCATGGCAATACTACTGCCTTGACCTCCCAAGTGCTGGGATTACAAGTGTGCACTAGTGCACCCGGGTATTTTTGTTTCTTTGTTTTGTTTTGATTTTTTTTTTGTCTTTTTTGAGACGGGGTCTTGCTATGCAGTTCAGGCTGGCCTTGAGCTCACTTTGTAGCCCAGGCTGGTCTCAAACTTGCAATGATCCTCCCACCTCAGCCTCCCGAGTGCTGGGATTACAGGCGTGAGCCACCACGCCCGGCGCTACATAACTGATTTTTGTAATTACTAACTATACATCAATATATACATTAATTATAAAATAAATCTTGACTTTAGGTTTATAAAATCATAGGAAAAATAGGCATCTCAGAATTAAGGAAATAAAATGATACAGAAGACTTGAACAAAGAGTGTAGGAACGCAAAGGGAAAAACACATTTGAGAAACATTTTTAATTTGGTCAATTGGGTGATAGAAATTAGAGTGAGATTAAAATTCAACTTTGTGATTTTGAGTGTGAACGAAAGTGTAGCAGGGCAGGACCCATAAAAGCATGCCGGGCATAGTGGCACATTCCTGTAATCCCAGCACTCAGGAGGCTGAGGCAGGAGGAGCCTTGCAAGTTTGAGACCAGCCTGGGCTCAACGTGAGCCAAAGGCCAGCCTGAACCCTACAGTGAGACTCTGTCTCAAAAAGGCAAAAATAAATAAATTTTAAAGAGCAATAGGGAAATCAGAGTTTGAGGCCACTGAAGGTATGAACCTGGAGTTAGGAGGAAAAGTCAGCCTGGGATAAGTATCTAAGGAATTACATGGAAATCCAAGTGGGAGACTTAAGCATGAATGAAATTCTGGCTAGGTATGGAGCCACACAGCTGTAATCTGGATACCAGGAAGGCTGAGGCAGGAAGATCACCAAGAGTGTAAGTTTCAGGCCAGCCTGGACTCCATAGTGAGATCCTATCTTAAAAAAAAATAAAACAAAACAAAAATAAACAACGCAAACAAACAAATAAAAAATAGTAGGGCTGGGGATTTAGCTCAGCGGCATAAGCGCCTGCCTTGCAAGCAGGCAGTCGTGAGTTCGATCCCTGGTACCGGTAAAAACGAAAAAGACAAAAAAAAAAAAAAAATAGTGAATATAACTCTGTCAGATTGCAGAAGCAAGGGCAAAGCATAATCATGAGTGTTCACACTCGCGTAGGAAGAGATATAGGGAAGAAAAGTAATTTGAAAAGTAGGATTCGATTCGTTCAAGAATAGGGGTATGAAGGACATGAGAATAGAGAGGCTGAGACCTTCTGTTCATGATTAGGCTTTGAGGATGTTAATTATGCATCTCTGTCTGGAGGTGTCTTAAGCATCTGTGCAGGATGGTGTTGTTTGTGATGAGACCTTGCGATGTTACTCAGGTTGGTTTTGAACTCTTGGGCTTAAGAGAGCCTCCTGCATCAACCTCCCAAGTAGCTGGGCTACAGGTGCATACCAAGGGTGCACAGGTATGTGTACCTTGCTTTATGCAGGTATTAAAAAGCCTACTTGAGTGTCCCCAAGGAATGTCCCTGTGAGACCCCTCAGTCTGCTGCTTGCTGACTACTGATGGTGGGTTATTACTCAGCGGCAGGAGTTCTGGTTATTTCCTTAGCTTATGTTGGGAAGTTCTAAAATTTCCCCAAAAGCCTGTTGCTGTTATTGTGTGCTGTTGATCCCTTAAAGCTGAAAAGAACATGCTTCCTATGTAACTTTTAACGGGTACCTATTTTAGAACATAATTGTGCAGATCCAACTGTTTATAAGAGAATCAAAGTTAAAGGCAAACTAGTTTTCCACACTTTTTCCAGTCCTGCTGGAAGAGTTGTGCCAGTTAAACTTTCTAAATTTCTACCAGTCAAAGGTAACTGTGTGCCCTCTGGTTTACGTCATTTCCCTAACAGCCAGGTAATAAAATAATTTACCTTGTGGTCCATACAGAAATAATACATTATAAAATCCAAGTAGAGGACAATATTTCAAAAAACAAACACTAAGTTATATTTACATGTACCTGTATGCAACATTTGGAAAAGCAAATGTGGAGATAGCTCACTGTCACGTGCTCTAAAAAGCTGACCAGCCTGGGCTTGGTGGCACTACCTACAATCCTAGCACTTTGGGAGGCTGAGACAGGAAGATCAAAAGTTCAAATACCACATGGGTGACAAAGATTCAGTCTAAAAATAGGGTTTGGGGGGCCCTGGGATGGAACTCAGTGTGAAGGCCCTGGCCTGAGTTCAATCCCAGGACTGGGGGAAAAAAAGAGCAAGCAAGCAAGCTAGCTGGGTAGTGTGATAAGATGATAGCAATTTGGACTATGAGCAGGGATTAAATGGCTCTAAAATAAGAATTTCCAAAAAGCTTCTCTTCCAGCCTGGAATATTTTAATCAGTACATCTGTAAGCATATCTTTCATTCTCATGCTTTTGCAAACCAGAAGTTGACATGTACAGTTTAGGGTGCTACTATTTCAGCCAATGTAATCTTAATTCTTGAATGTTTTTTCCCTAAGGGAAAAAAATGCTTCTCCTGTATGGTGTAGGCTCACAAGGCTGTGCAGTGTAATAGGAGCCAGTGTGTTGTGAGGAGGCTATAAATGGTCTGTTCTGCCGGTGCTATCTGGTTTGTAAGGTGTCTTTGATCTCCATACACTAGACACGCTGACAACTAACAGTTGTCCGGGTGAGGAGAACAGCTAAAGGAAATCTTTACTAACCAGACTGTCCAGCTTAGTATGGCAATTCGTTGTTTCTCATCTTCTTTCTGCATCTCTTGATCGATTGCTTTATGACACTGGCTCAGGACAGAAATGGCAAGCAAATAAATGATACTCTCTCTGCCTCCCTTCCACCATTGAACTTTTTCTTGTTTCAGAGTCATTTTTGACACTCTAGGCAACCATTATCAATGAGTTGGAGTTTGAGACTTAAATATAGTAATGGCCAGAAAATCTAATTTAAGGCTTTGTTTTTAGTGTCTTCTGATCCCATGGAACAGAGTATCTTAAGACCAAGAGGATTTATTTTAAATTAATTGAAACCAGAAAGTTGTTTACATGCAAAACAAGTCAGGTACTGGGTTCTCTCCCAGCAGCACACCTATCCCAGCACAGGTGTGTCTGTGTATTTTATTTCATTTTTGGTCTGAGACAGGGTTTCACTCTGCAACTCAGGATGGCCTTGAATTCACTTTGTGGCCCAGGCTGGCTTCAAAAGCACAGTGATCCTCCTGCCTCAGCCACTGGAGTGCTGGGATTATTGGTATGCACCACTCACGTGGCCTGTGTCTGTGTTCTTAATGTGCATTTTCCCTCGCATTCAGATAGCCAACCCTATTTGCCCCTGTCCAAATTCTCCAGAGAACTAGTTTAACATATTTAGTTATTACCATTGTATTAATTAAATAACCAGAGCTTTGGTGCCAGTTTTTGGACAGCTCTTGAGTTACCATGGCCACTGGTAGCATTTTTTTGTTTTTGTTTTCTTTCACCTGGCAGTGTTTTTTTTACTCTGTGAAAATGTAAAATTCAACATCTGCTTAGGTATTTGTAAAAACTTTTTAAAAATTAATTATTTATTGGTACATTTTAGGTGTACATAATGATCACATTCATCATAGGGAATTTATACCTGTACATGACACAATTTGATCCTTCTTTTCCCCACCCCCAGCTGTCCCTTAACCCTCCTTCCCCTCCTTATTTACAAAAGCTTTGTTTCCAAGTAAAAATTTATTTCACAAAAAGCTTGTGTAAACTGGTATCATTTTTTTAAAAGACAGTGTAATTTCCTTTTTCCCTTTCGATACGGGGGATTGATGCTAGGGGCTATGCACATTTTTGACAAGTGCTCTATGTGTGAGCTGAATGTTCAGCCCACATTTTATTTTTCTGGAAGTTTTATTAAACAGTAGATCAGGAGATTGCAATACACATTTATATTTTGATTTTAATGAAGTTATATTTAAACATATCTTATAACTGATATAATTTAGAGATTTAAGATGGATAACAGAAGAAGCGTGTGAATTCTTAAGTAACCAAAAAGTTCAGACCAATTTGAGCACAGGTTTCTGGCGTAATATGTAAGGGCTGACTGCGACACCTTCACTTTCTGTGTGTTGCTACCTTTATTTACAAAATGACAGAATGCACATCTTAAACTGGTTATGAGTAACGAGTGAATGTAGATATTTAGAATAGTAGGCAACTAATATTGTAAGGGCAAAATGATAGAATAGCAAATTATAGACACTTTATAATAGAAGTTAAGAAATCAGTTAATGGCCTGTAATTATGCTCACAGGTTATCCTCTAAGCTCAGTCAGCCTTGGCTGTGTCCAGCTGCTTCTCCCAAATAAGACATTAGGTCCACCTAACTGTGTCCAGTTGTAAATGCTTGTGTTTTTCCAGCTTGCTTCAACGCCTACCTGTCTGGGACAGATAGTGTGTCCAGTTGGGGACACAGTGAACTCTACCTGCTCCACTCAGGCTCCCTGCTTCCTTCTCAGAATGTTCCTACCTTATGATAAATAATTCCTTTCAAGTAAACCTACTTGGAACTAGCTCGCTTGACAACGTATGACTTAATTCATGTAATTGGTCATGTAATAACTTGCCATTAGCCTTGTGCTTCTGGCTTGCAAACTACATTTAAACTAATGTACGGCTGGTGATTTGGAGCTAATTTCCACCAGCCTGTTAGTGGACTACATCGTCTTCCAAACTCCTCAGTGGGAAGTGCCTTCCCTTTGGTTCAGTACCAGGTTTCTGCAGCAATACATGGCTAGAATTTACAGAGTAGCAGAGCATTTTATAATAATGAAATCACCAAATAAAAGCCAAAAGTGTTTCTGAAGTGATCGGTGAGCATCTCCCAGGAGTGCTGCAGAAGCATCCCCTCCTTCGATAAGACTTGATTAGACATTCTCATAAAATACAGGATTCTTTGGTAGGCTCCTTATATTAGGAATCCTGTAAGTTATATTTCAGTTTAGGAAGTTATCTGTAGAAAAATAAGATTTTTGTTACACTGCAAATCCACAAGTACCTTTTCGCGTCTTGTGGAGCACTCATACTAAAGCCAAATGACATCCAACAAAACCACTTGGGAAGATTTTCAATATATAAATTAACATGTTTAGATAGTAAGGTAGCAGATCAAAAAATATAATATTATTTACCCATAGAAAAGCGATCTTGAAAAGCAGGAGAAGATACCTCTTAAGGGCAACTTGCTACACTTTCAGCTCAAGAGTACAAAGGGAAAATTTTGATTTTTTGGTACTGGTAATTGAATTCAGGACCTTGCACTTATCAGGTAGGTGTTTGTGCCACTGAGCTATGTCCCACAGAAGAAAACCTGAAAAAGAAATGATCTCATTTAAGGTTGACTCCATGAGAGCTACCTGACTATACATGGAAATACACAATTTTCAATGTTGGTCAAACATAAAATTTAATAGAGGTCTAAAAAGTGTGCACAAATTCCCAAAATGTGTTACTTACTGTTAAAAGTGTTTATGTTTATAGTTACATTTTTCCTAGATTCGATCTTAGGCATTAAGTATTTTGAAAATATATTTCAGTATAACACACATACAAAAAGGTACACATATATTATGTGTACTATTCGAATTTCTTTTTCTTTTTGAGACAGGGTCTTGCTATGCAGTTCAAGCTGGCCTTGAATTCATTATGTGGTCCAGGCTAGCCTCAAACTCAAGGCAACCCTCTTGCCTCAGCCTCCCCAGCGCTGAGATTACAGGTGTATGTCACACCCGACTTCTTCGTGTGTGTTTGTGTGTGTGTGTGTGTGTGTGTGTGTGTGTGTGTGTGTGGTATTGAGGATTGAATCGAGGGCCAGGCAGTGAGCTACAGCACCAGCCCCTGCCCCCTTTTAAATTTTGATCCTACTAAGTCACTAAATTGCCCTGATTGGGCTATGGCAGTCCTCCTGCCTCAGCCCACCAGAGGGCTGGGGTTACAAGTATGTGCTACCACACCTGGTTTACAACTTAAATTTTTACAAACTAAACACACGTATGTCATTAGCATACAGATTTTAAAAAATAAACATTAAGCACTATTAGGCTATCTTACAGGATTTCAATCACAGTATCCCAATTTAAAATTTTACTCTTTTCCTTTCCAAGCCCATTTTCTCAGCCTTTTCCACCTTAGTAAATGACACAACCAAGCATCAGTAATGACAGAAACCTGAGTCATTCTTGATACCTTCCTTTTCTACCATTTCCTTATTTCTAATCCAGTTGTTTCATTAAATTTACTTCCCCCCAATATAAAGTGCATCCACTTGTTTCACTGACCACAGTTTCATTCCTAACCAATTTTCCACCCAACAACCAAAATAATACTTTTTAAAAAAGAAATCTGACGGCACTTCCTTGCACAAAACCCCTTAATTTCTGCACTCTTAAGGGTTTTCACCTGTAGTAAATCATTTTAATGGCTGTATTGGAAAACCTTTTAATATCTTGGGTCATCAACTCAAATTTCCATTAATGGTGATACAGGCATTTAAAAACATCAAAATTCTTCATCAGTATCTATTCCTGCCACACCTCTCTGAACCTCCCTGGGCCGGAGCCCCTAGGTAGGGCTTTCCTGCAGTGGAAATCGACGCTGAAGCGACCGCAAATTCAGCTACCTCTTTGCCTGGTCAGGATTCAACCTGGACTACAGGAGACGCGGCCAAGAGAGGCGAAGCTTACTCTAGGGCCACCTCCGGGTCGGGCGGGCTGCACGGCAGTACCGCTTGGTGACGCTTCTGAAATGACTGAAGGAATGGAAAGAGTAAGAAATCCCAATTTGGTACAAGGCCAAAACGACTATCCCTTGGAAAGACGTCTATGGCGGGCGAACAGACCGCGGAGGGTGACAGGTCAGCGAGCAGCTCCAGGAAGGGGCAGCACAGCCACGACCACGGAAGACTTTCATGCCCGCCGGGCATCCGGCCGCCAGAAAAACCTGGGAACTGGGCGAGTGGAAATCAGCCAATCACGAGCGCTCTCGCCGATGACGTCACGGCGCGCTCGTTGATTCGACGCTCGGGGGGGTGCGGAGGGGCGTGCGGAGTGCGGAGCCCGAGTTGAGCGACGAGTCATCGGCCCGCGGGCCCGGGGAGCGGAAGCCGCGGGGGGCGGGCCTGCGCCCAGCCTTTCTGGCGCTTCATTGTGCTGCGGGCTTCCAAGTACAGCGGCAGCTAGAGGCAGCGTAGGAGAGCGCCTCTGACCCGCACTCGGTGAGAGCCGGCGCTGCGGAGCGCATCCTGCTGGCCCCTGGGGCCTCCTCCTCGGACCCAGTTCTCCGCCCGCTGCCAGCTCTGCGCCGCGCCCGCAGCCGAGCATCCCGCGCCGGGCCTCGCCTTGTGGCCCGCAGGACTGTCCAGGGGACGGCAGGTGGCCCGAGGCAGAGCGGCTCGTGTGAGTGGGGCTGGAGGGAGGCCTGGCTCTGCTCAGCCCACAGGCAGTGCTGTCCGGCTAGGAGAGGCAGTGAGTGGTGAGGTGCGCGGCGCGCGCGAACGGTGGAGAGCCGCGGGCACGCGGGCCCGGGGTGTCAGTGTGGCCCTGAAAGATGGGCTTGAAGGCCCCGCCCGGCTCTGCCTGAGTCTCGGCTGCCTTGAAGTTTGATGGGCGGGTGTTGCTCCACCCCACCTGAGCGCCCTTGTAAAATTGTTCAGAACATGAGGAAGTAGGCTTTGCTCCTCTGATAGAAGGTGGTAGGTACAGCGTAGCAGTTCGGTTAACTGGTTGAGCCAACTTTCGGAGCTCTGAAAGGACTCAGACCAAATTACTGCCTGGGAACGGGGTTTCAGATCTCTTTAGCCCTTTTGTGCTTATGGCTGTGAGTCATTTCTCCTTGTGGAGCAGGATAGATAAGAAACCGTTACAACCGTAGCTTAGCTCCCAAGGTGAAGCATATGGTTGAGGAGCACAAGGTCTTACCTGTGTAGTTCAGGTTCGCTTTGAACTCATGTAGCACAGACTGGCCTCCTACCTCAGCCTTCTGAGTGGTGAGATTACAGACGTGCGCCCTACAGCTTTTCCATTTTAGATCATGTAAATATACTGCCTAATACTATACATATATCTCCATCCTTTACTATTACAGTGTTGTCTTTTTAGTATCATTTTTTTAGCCTTGGTGTTGAAACTAACATTCTTATATTTTTAAAAATTGATTTATATGGCTGGCTTATTCTACTTAGGTAGAATCCTCCTTTAGTAACCTGGTCAATACTGAGCACTGCCAGATGGAAAGTTTACTGATGTTTATAAAACAAATAAAAGTGGATCAATCATGAATAGTTTGCTTTACCTCACCTCCTAAACTGAGTATCAGCAACAGTGTATTCAGTTCAAAACCAGTGTTGATCAGTGCAAGAAGGCTTAGGTAACTGGGCATGGTGACACATGCCTGTAATCACAGCACTCCAGAGGCTGAAGCAAGAGGGTTGTCACGAGTTTGAGGCCAGCCTCAACTATATAGAGAGACAACAAACACTGAAACAAACAAAAAAGGATGATGTAAACAGACACTTAAGGTAGCCATTTTGCAAGTACATTTTTACCACTTTCTGACTAGTGCTTAGGTTTTCTGACTATGACTCTCTTGGCAGAATTCTCATTTTATTATCTAATAATGCATTCCACTGGGGAAATTAGATTTTACTAGGGACTAAAATCTGAATTAGCCCAGTAATGGGGCATTTGGCCCAAAGATGGAGCAATAGGCATGTTCTAGATTGTTTTTTTTTTTTTGGCACTGGGGATCAAACAACCTCATGACCTCATGCTTGCCAGGGAGGCTATTACACTGCTGAGTTAAATCCCCAGCCCCATGGTCATAGATTCTTCCCTTAAGGGGATGGAGGATCAAGGGGAAAAGGCTACTGATGGGGTTTCCAGTGAATTTCAGAGAGAAACCCTCCTTGGTTGACATCTTACTCATGGCTCTGAATTCCTGGTTACAAATTAGTCTCAGTATTTGTGCACTTTTTGAAATCTAAGTATTGAGATCACAGTCCTGACATGAAATTTTACATTGAAGTAGGGATGTTTAAAATGATAAAATAAATCTCTTATCTCTTGCCTTGAATTTTACTTGTTGAATGGAGGGTAATGGTATGAGGCAGAGGAGGGGCAGAGGAGTTGAACAATAGTGTATTTGTGTGTGATGATCCACGGTCCATGATAGCTGGAAAGGAAGGTAGCATCTTGGTAGGTTTGGGTGAGAAAGAATGAAGTTTATAAGAATCCTTTCCATAAGAGGTAACACTTACACTTAGTTTTGAAGGGTGAGTAGGCATCTAGGTAGGAAGGAAAGGTTTGGGTAGAGGTACTTGTGTCTGTGAAGACATAGCCAGGAAAATTGAAAGTTGACCTGCAGGCAGTTTGGTATGGTTGATGCTTTGGCACAGGGTAGGGCTGGGTTTAGATCAGCACAATGGATTTTATAGTGCTGCACTGTGATACATTGTGATGTAATGTGACAATCAGATATGAAATTTGAAAGGATCACTTGCAAGCTGTGAAAGGCTTTGACTGGACAGACAGGTAAATCACTTACCTGTTTCAGTAGATTAGATCCAAGGTCAGAGACTGTACTAAGGAAGCTTTGGTTGGGATGAAAGGTGTTCAGGAGGAGAATTGAGAGGGTTTAGGTGGTACTGGTGAGGAGCAGAAAAGGCAAGGGTGTTAAGGCATTTGGATGAGTGGATGTGCACAGCCAAGAGAACAGTTAAGGGGGAACAGGTCTGGTAAAGAGGAGTTCAGTTTGGGACACTTGACGTTCAGTGTTCATGGGACACACAGCAAGATCTGGTGCAGGTGTTCAGTTGTCAGTCCTGCCAGCTGCTGGCATGTGGGTACTAATGAGTTGTTAAAGGTAGGTTTTTATCTTACTCATCTTTCTATCCCAGTGCTGCTTTAAAAGAGTGCAGTATGAGGGTGAGTAGATTATATTCCTTATAAGATGTGATCTTGAATCTTGGGGAAGTACTTTTCCTTCTCTGGACTTGTGTTTCCCTTTCTGTAAAGTGAGGCAGTTCAACTACATCAGTGGTGTTCTGTAACAAAGTTTTGTAATAGTCTCTTGTGTTGGGCTCAATTATAAGATATGGTAGGTAATTTTTAATAATAAGGAGCTAATATCTGTTTGTCTTTAAAATGAGAGTTAAAGCCAGGCACTGAGTTGGTGCATGCTTGTAATCCCAGTATTCCTGGAGGCTGAATGGCAAGTTTGAGCCCAGCATAGGTAACATTGTGACTTAGCAAGGCGTTGGCTCAAAAGAAAAAAGGGACAGGTGATACAGCTTAGTACAGAGGTCTTGAGTTCAATCCCTAGTACAAAAAAGAAAGAAAGAAAGAAAGAAAGAAAGAAAGAAAGAAAGAAAGAAAAGGAGCGTTGATTGGTCACTCCTTATTCATTGCATTGCACTGTTTTTCTTGACTGTGAGGGGAATAGGTGGAGTTACAATTAGTGCTGGAATTTCATAACTAGCTATCCTAGCGGGAATGTAGCAGCAGTGGAGAAAACAGAAGTTTGAGAAATGCTGGAGTAAATGGTAGGACTTAAAATTGAAAAGTTCTGTTTTTATATTGAAGAATTATTCTGATTAGAAACAGTAATTTTTATTTTTTGCAACTTCAGGAACTCTATTTTAAGAAACTCTTGCAACGAAAACATCAAGTCATGGAGAAGAATGGGAATAACCGAAAGCTTCGGGTTTGTGTTGCTACGTGCAACCGAGCAGATTATTCTAAACTTGCCCCAATCATGTTTGGCATCAAGACGGAGCCTGAGTTCTTTGAACTTGATGTGGTGGTCCTTGGCTCTCACCTAATAGATGACTATGGGTAAGATCAAACTTCTCTTGTTCTTCTTTGAAGCAGTGTACTGAAGAAGTCTTGGACTTTGTAGCCATATGGATCCAGCTGCCTATCTTAGTTTTAGCAGAGTGTGTGGTGTTCGCCTATATTCCCAGCACTTGGGAGGCTGAGGCAAGAGAATCACCGTAACTTCAAGGTCAGCCTGAATGGCATAGCAAGACTGTCTCCAAGAAAAAAAAAAGCCCGTAAAACTCAGGTTTACCACTTAGTTTTTATGTGACCTTGGAAAAGTTGTCAGGCATCTCTGAGCCTCCTTTTTTTTCAGATGTAAAATGAGCAAAACGCTAGATTGTAAGTTATCGTGAGGAATAGTTAAATGTCCGTCACAATGATACTGCCTAAATATTTATAAATGATAAGTATTGTTATTACATTTAGGAAAATTGTCACTTGTAAATATAGATAGGATATGATTCCATGTAATCTGTTCTGTGAAGTTTTTGTTGTCATTCTTTTGTTAGGAATGGAACCAAGGACCCTCTATGCATGCTAAGCAAGTCTTCTCCTATTTAGCCATCACCCAAGCCTGTTTGACAGTTTCTAGTGGCCATTCTTCAAAACTGGTTATAGGTCAAAAGAATATAAACTGCTATGTATGGAACAAGATTTTAAAAATTTTATGAGGTAATGTAGAAATCTTACCAAGATCATTGATAACTATCTTTGTAGCATTAAGTTTGTATTGATCATAAGGTGTATTTGGAAAATGAAGGTTGAGTGATTTTGGTGGGAACAAAATATATAACACACAAATGAACTTTTAAAAAAATTTTTATTTTGAGAGAGGGTCGTCTTACATATTTTAGACTGGCCTTGAACTCACTGTGTAGCCCAGGCTGGCCTTGAATTTGCACTTCAGCCTCTCAGTGATACGATGCCTGGATAATTTTGCGTTAGGTAGTAAAGAAAGATGTAGTGCACCCTTGTGGCATTAAGATGTTCATACAGTCTCCAAATATGTTAAGAAGTATTTTGTTATATAGGAAAGAAGTTTACATCAAAATTGTTATTTTTAGGCTATTCTCTATAACCCAGCTGAGCATGGTGGCACAGGCCTGTAATCCTAGCCTTGAAGAAAGAGGATGTCAGTTCAAGGCCAGATGGATCACATAGCAAGACCCTTCTCTAAAGATGAACTTATATATAATAAGACAAGCGAACAACAGTAAAGCAAACCTTCAAAAACCAGCTTGACAATTTGCTCTAAAACAGTATTTAAAAAGCAGAGAAAAATGTTATGGATAGCTCAGGGATCCATAGAGTTTTTAAAAATGTAAAATGAATTCTGAGTACCTATGAAAATCTGTGGGTGAGAGGACAGCAGAAGAGAAGTTTTACCTGGAGCCAGATATGAAAGTCTGAGTCTTTTACTTCTGTAATGAAACTCTGATAGAAAGACTGGTAGGAGAGAGAGTGCCTGGAAAACTGCAGTAGGTTTCTTAGCTCCTACGATAGTAATCAAGGGTAAAAAGGTAGTTTGTCTGGTGAGATTAATGAATAGGAAATGTTACTAGTACTTAATGAAAACATATATTTAAAATATTTTGGAGGCCGAGGATTTAGCTCAGCAGTGTAAGCACATGTCTGGCAAGTGTGAGATCATGAGTTTGATCCCTGGTATTCCCCCAATTTTTTTTTTTGGCTGAGTGTAGTGGTGCATGCTTGTAATTCCAGAACTGGGAAGGCTGAGGCAGGAAGATTGCTGTGAGTTCAAGGCCAGCCTGAACTGCATAGTGAAGCCTTGTCTCAAAACAAAACAAAAATTCTAACTCAAGAGATTGATTGCTTCTGGGGAGAGGAATTGGATGACTAGAAGACAAAAGTAGGAGACTTTTTACTATATAATCTTTTGAATTTTTTTCTTTTTCTTTTCTTTTGAGAAAGGATCTCACTATGTAGTTCGAACTGGCTTTGAACTCACTATGAGCCCCAGCTGCCTTTGAACTTGCAGCAATCCTGCCTCAGCCTCCCCAGTGCTGCAATTATGGAGAATGCCACCATGGCTGGCCTTCTTTTGAAATTTAACTATATGAATATATTATTGTTTTTTTCTTAGGAGATGAGATCTTGCTATGTTGCCCAGGCTGGCCATAGACTTGTGGGCTCAAATGATCCTCCTGCCTTGGTCTCCTGAGCAGCTGGGACAGTAGGCACCTGCCACTACATGAGGCTGCTATTAGTTATTTAAAAATACTAAAGCAACAGAAAAAGTAAGCTACCTTCTGTTTCAACTGCAGACAGTCCCAGATTTACAGTGATTCAACTTAGTTTTTCAACTTTATGATGGTTGAGTGGTGCATATGTGATACGCATTTAGCAGGATTTTACGTTCAGAATGTATTGCACAGTTTGAATTGTGATCTTTGCCTGGGCTAGTAGCATGCTGTATCATACTTGTTCAGAATGCTGGGCAGCAAGAGCCAGCCTCAGCTCCTGGTTAATCATGAGATCAAGGGATAAATATCCACCTGGGTTGTAATCCTACCACTTTGGAAGGCTGTGGCAAGAGGACCTCAAGTTTGGCCCAATCTGGGCAACTTAGTGGTTCAGTGAGACTTCTTAAAGTAAAAAAGTTTGAAGAGGGGTAGGGATGTAGTTCAGTGCCAATGCCCTGGGTTCAATCCTCAGTGCCAAAAAAAAAAAAAAAAAATGATGATGATGATGATGAAGAAGAAGAAACAACTTACTCTCTACCATGTACTATTTTTCTTCTTCTTCTTTTTTTTTTTGGTACTAAAAATCAAACTCAGGACCTCATGCTTGCCAGGTGTTTTTGTGCTGCTGGGCTATATCCCCAGCAATGTAGTGTTTCTCTTTCTTTCTTTTTTCCCCCTCAAATCCCTTTTATTTCAAGGATAAAAAGAAAAAGAAAAAAAAAACTATAAGGAAATTTCAAAGCATATCAATCAGGGGTAACAATGGTGTCATCCCCAGATTATTCACCCAGGGAACATAGCATCTGCATTCAGCTGTCTGTACTGTGTTTCTTAGTTACAATGCTTGGTAGTTAGCTATGTCAGATACATTTTCAACTTGTGTTGTTTTCATTTTAGAGTTGGGTTACCAGGACATAATCCCATAATAAGTTGAGAGGATCCATACTTGGGCATTTTTTAAAAATCAGCATTTATGGGCCAGGGTTTAGCTCAGCAGCATAAGTGCCTGCTTGGCAAACATGAAGTTGTGAGTTTGATCCCTGGTACAAAAAAAAAAAAAAAAAAAAAAAAAAAAAAAAAAAAATCAGCATTTGTGTTTTCTGAAGAATTGAGTAAAAAAGTAACAACAGCATACTTGGAAATTCATTTCTTCAATTTTTCATTTAACAAATAGTGTTAGGTAATTGGCATGTGCCAAATGGCAAATAAGATGGAAACAAAGTCCTAGTTTTCATAGAATTTACATTCAGATGGGGGAGATGGATGATATTTAGAGAAGTCAAAAACAAAGAAAAGAATAAAATGGAGATAAAGTGATAAAGGAAAACCTGTACTAATTTATGATCTAACATACTTTGATTAGCAGGGAGTAATTGAACTAAATATTCAATTTGTAAAATACTTTCTAAAGAAAAAGCCCAGGCTCTAGTAATGGCAGGGAAGTTTCTATCTGACTCATTCCCACAGTGAGCTCTTACAAACTCTGGAAAATATTTTTGAAAATGTTCACAAGCAGTGGAAAACAACCAGCAACAGGCAGAAATTGCAGGAGATTCAATCTCTAAAAAAGAAACAAAAGGGAGTAGATAAGATACACGTTTAGTTCTTCCTCAGAGTGTCCTATAACCCACATGGTGTAGGTTGGCTAAAGCTCAAGCAAAAAAGCCACCATTGTTTAGGCGGGTACTTGAAAACGGAACTTGGAGGTTATAACATCTGAAAATTGAGAGGAATAATTCTAGAAATGAGGGGTCACAGAGGGGAAGTCCAGAACCTGCACATTAATTATTTTCAAATTCTTGGTTGACTGCTGAGCTGCAGGTGCGTGGGACTCCAAGAAACTCATCGGAAAACAATAGCTGGAGGCCCAAGAAACTGAGAGCAGTTTCATCTGTTGTCTGTTTCAGTGGAGACTGTTTAGAGTTTGAATCCTACCAGGTTAGAGGGCCTTCACAAGTCTCTCAGGCTTTTCACGGAAACCCCAGAAACTTGTATCCTGAGAATATAAATTGTGTCCAGTTTACTCCTTAGGAAAAAAACTAAACCAGATTTATCCTAATAACATTCATTCATTCATTCTTTTGAGACAGGGTCTCACTATGTAATTCAGGCTGGCTTCAAACTTGTGATCCTGCTGCTTCATCCTCCCAAGTGCTGGGATTATTATAGACGTGCACCAGTATCATAATAATGTTTTAAACCAAGTTTCTACAAATTGCACATCTAGGAATGTTCTGCCCACTCAAATGAAAGTAGATCTTACGAAGAGGATAACAGAACTTGGAGCTGGAAGCTCTTCAGTGTATCAACCACAGTGTTCAGTGTATAATCATCAATTACTAGATTTGTGTAGAAACCAAAAAATTTGATCCAATGTCAAGAAAAACAGTAGTCAGTGAAACAGACCCAGGGATGATCAGATGTAATTAGCAGACTCTCAACAAGCAGCTGTCACAGCAGAGTCAGGGAAACTATAAAAAATAATGTAAGACTGAAAAGCACAGTATATAATATAAAAATTCAATTGATGTAGATGCCAAAGACAAGATAGGGTCAGTGAACTTGAAGACAGATAAATAAAAATTAGGTAAAGAACAGATCAACAACAAAAATTACGTAAAATGAAAAATAGAGCTTCAGTGACTTTTGGGACTGTATCGGAAGCAATCTAATAAAAGTGCTATTTCAGAAAGGAGGAAGAAAATGGGGCAGCAGTCTTTTAGAAGAAGTAGTAGCCAGAGCTTTCTAAATTTGGTGGAAAAAAAAAAATCAATGTGTAGGTCCAGGAAGGTCAATAAACTCCCAAAAGGTAAATACAGAAAAATAACACCAAGGCACGGCATAGTCAACTTGCTGAAAACTGAGAAAAATCTTGACAGCAGCATGGGATAAATGCTGCTTCCTGTAGGGGACAGTGGTGTGAAAGATAACTCTAAAATAACAGAGACCCAAAGATAGTGAACCATCTTTAATATGCTCAGAGGGAGGGAAAAAAGCCCTGCAGAAATACTTATTCTGTGAAAGTATACTTTAAAAATAAAGGTGAAGCAGGTTGAGTGTGGTGGCAAATGCATGCTCTGAGGCAGGAGGATTGCAAGTTCCAGTCTAGACTGAGTAATTTATCACCTTAGTAAGACCCTGTCTTTAAAAAGGGTGGGGGGGGGGAATATATATATATGGAAAGAGAGAGAGACAGACTTCTGACAGACACTGGTTTAATCCAAAGGCCCCAAGTTCAGCACACAGAGATGTAAGTAGATTTAAAATTATGACAAGAGTCATACAGATAGGAAGGGGTGTTTATTATTATGAAAATCTTATCTTGCCATACATAAAGTGGTGTAATAAGGTAAACGGGAAGATGTTCACTTCCCTAGGAACCCCCCCCACACACACACACAAAAATACAGAGATGTACAGATAAAAATCCAGCAGAGGACCAGGCATAGTGACGTATGCCATGATCCTAGCACTCCAGAGGCTGAGGCAGGAAGATGGCTGTGAGTTTGAGGCCAACTTGAACTACATAGGGAGAGTCTCTCTCAACACAAAACAAAACAATTATAAAAGCCCAACAGAGGAATTAAAATGGCCTGCTTAAAAAAAAATTAATGTAAAAGAATGCAGGTGTTTTGGCCACCTTCTTCCCATCCCTGGACACAGTGTCTGATACCTGCGACTTAAGGAGGAGTTTATTTTTACTGGAATTCAGTCCATGGCTGGCTGGCTGGCTCTGAAACAGAATGGAGGACTTGGGCGTGTGGGGAAAGGGGGCTCTATCCCAGGTGGGTGGAGGAAAAAGGGCTCTACCCCAGGTGGCTGGGAGCAGAGAGGAGCCCAGACAAGGACATCCCTTTCCATGTTACACCTGCCCGGTGGCCTGCCTCTTCCAGCCAGGCTGGATCTGTGATTATGAGGCTTTCGGAGGGACATTTTAGATCTAAATCATAATAACAGCATCAGAGGAACAATGACAAAATGCATAAGGGACAAAAAGGAAACAAGTGACACAAATACACTTAGTGATATCAATAATTCTACTCAATGTAAATGAATTTATTCAATTAAAAGGCAATGATTGTCAGAGCAGATGAAAAGCCTGCATGCGATTTACTAGACACAGAGTATAAAGGTACTTGCTGATCTAAAATAAAATGAAAAAGGTAACACCATGCCCAAAGTAAACATGAAAGCTAGAGTGACTGTGTTTATATCTAGACTCTCATATAGTGACTAGGACGACAGGAACTGCTATTCTTTTTTTATTTTTATCTTTTTCTTTTTTTATTGGTACCGGGGATCGAACTCACGACCACACACTTGCAAGTCAGGCACTTATGCCGCTGAGCTAAATCCCTGGCCCCAGGAACTGCTACCCTTACAGATATTAAAATGGTACAAGATTAACTCCTTAGGAAGCTGTAACAGTCCATATGCATCTCATAACAGTTTTAAAATACGTGAAGCAAAACCTGAGATAACTAAAGGAGATCCAAACAAACCTGCAATTAGAGTTGAAGATTTTAACTTTTTTTAGGAATTGATATAATAAGTAAATAGAAAATCTCCAAGGATTCAAAACCCTGGAGCAAAACAGGTGATGACCTTTAAACCTAACTGACATTTAAAGACAAGTTTTCCCAGTTACTACAAAATACGTGTTCTTTTCAGATGTATATGAATATTCACCAAGATAGAGCAGGTCATGGAGCGTCAGCTGAATCTGTGAATTTCAGAAGACTGAACATTAAGAGAGTACATTCACTGATCACAAAAGTTAAATTAGAATTTAATAACAAAGATAACTAGAAAAGCTCAAAATATTTGGAAACTCAACATATTTCTTCAGTAGTCCATGGCTCAAGCCAGAAGTCACAAGGAAAATTAGAAAATATTTTAAACTGAATATTGTGGCATATCAAAATTTGTGGAGGGCAATGAAGCAGCGCTTGGGAGAAACTTACAGCTTTAAATGTTTATATTAAAAAAATTTTTTTTATCGGTACTGGGAATCAAACTCATGACCATGTGTTTGTTTGCAAAGCAGGCACTTATGCCGCTGAGCTAAATCCCCAGCCCTAAAATTTTTTTTTTTGTTTCTTTGCTTGCTTGCTTGCTTGCTTGTTGAGATAGGGTCCCGCTGTGTAGTTCAGTTGCTCTGGAACTCACTGTGTAACCCAGCTGGCCTTGGGCAATGCTGCCTCAGTCTTCCAGGTGCTGGGATTACAGGTGTGCACCCCACACTTGGCAAAAAAGGACTTTAGAGTTAGTGAGCTGTTTCTGTTTCAATACACAAGAAGATGAGAACTATTAAACCCAGAGCATAAGGGAGAAAACTTAAGAATGGCAATGAATAGGATGTAACAATAGATAAACAATAAATTAACAGAGCCAATGGTTAATTCTTTAAAAATAATAATAAAACTGACAGACTTCTAGCAATGCCTAAGGAAATAAGAGCATAGAAGTTACTAATATAAAAATGACAATGGGTATATCACTGCCAACACTGACAGGATAAAACGGGACTATTTTGCCAATAAGTATGACAAGTCAATTTGGATGAAATGGACAAATCCCTTGAAAAAAAGTGCTGATTACAAAACTGATGTTGAAGAAGTAGGAAATTTCAATGGCCTAATATCTGTTAAAGAAATTGAGGTTGGTACAGTGGCACACGTCTGTGCTCCCAGCACATGGAGGCTGAGGCAGGAGGCTTGCCAGTTAAGGTCAGCCTCCACTACCTTGTGAGTTCGAGACCAGGCTGGACTGCAGAGCAAGACCTTTTTTACAAGTCTATCTCAAGATTAAAGACCGGAGTGGAAATTTTTATATTCTATAATTATATTTTATGATCTTGTCTGATGTAGATGAAGTAGATTAAGAAATTGTATGTACAGTGTGTTTTTAACTATGTTAAAATATTTGCATAAAATGGAAGAAAATTATATTGTTGATTGGTAGATTTGTGAATAATTTCCATATTGTGTGTTTTTAAGATAACATATAAAGAAAAGATCCTATCTTAAAATTTAGTCATGACAAGAACTTTCAGGCATTGAGAGTTGATGTTAGTATAGCATGAAGTAATCTTGAAGTTGCATTTCACTACTGCTTTAATTCTGTGAAAGCTGCTTTTTCGTTCTCTACAGAATTATCCTTGCATTAGTGGTACCATAGAAAGCAAATTGGGAAGATAATTTCCATTATTCAAAAATTCATAGCACAGTGACATGTTGGGCATCCTGATTTCCTATTCTTTTTTTCCTAGAAAAAAAATAAGCTCCGCTTTCAAAAGTAATATTTTTTCTTATTAAAGTGCACATTTCTTTATAAAAATTGCTATTGAAAAACAAATGGCCACTTTTAATGTTGGATTCTTTTTGCTTAATAAAAAGAATTTTGTCTTCAGATGTTCTCCCTCCAGCTGCTGCTGAGGAGGGTACAGGGAGACTCCTGAGGGGAAGCATGTGTTTCATCTTGATCTGGGTGATTGCTACACAGCATGCATGTACAAATTAACCAGTCTGCAAGTTCACCTATAGTCTCTGCTCTTTATTTTCTGTTTAAGATATATCTTAATTTATTTACTTTGTTTCAGCTAGCAAAAATTTGAACATGTTTCTCCCTACATGCAGCGCTTTTTGGTGTGTTAAGAATGTGACTGTAGGGCCAGGGAGATAGCTGAGCAGTACGGTGCCTGCCTGGCAAGCGCAAGGTCATGAATTCAACCCCCAGTACCATGAAAAAGAAGAAAAAGTGTGAACACACTCTCAGAGTGTTATTTTTCTCCTTCTCTAGAAACACGTATCGCATGATTGAACAAGATGACTTTGACATTAACACCAGGCTGCACACAATCGTGAGGGGGGAGGATGAAGCAGCCATGGTGGAGTCCGTAGGCCTGGCGCTAGTGAAGCTACCAGACGTCCTCAACCGCCTGAAACCGGATATCATGATTGTGCATGGGGACAGATTTGATGCCCTGGCGCTGGCGACCTCTGCAGCCTTGATGAACATCCGCATCCTTCACATTGAAGGAGGAGAGGTCAGTGGGACTATCGATGACTCTATCAGACACGCCATAACGAAGCTGGCCCATTACCACGTGTGCTGTACCCGGAGTGCAGAGCAGCACCTGATAAGCATGTGTGAGGACCATGACCGCATCCTGCTGGCAGGCTGCCCCTCCTATGACAAACTCCTCTCAGCCAAGAACAAAGACTATATGAGTATCATTCGGATGTGGTTAGGTATGTATGTCAGGCTTTGTCGGCTTATGGCTGTTTGGTCAGAACATGTTGGTTATCTTTCAGCTCTTTTAGAGACTCAAATCAAATATTCCATCTGCAATCAGAAATTTAACCACTTACCAGTGTACCTCAAGCCTCTCGGGCAGTACCTGTGTTTACTGATGAAGCATTGCTGGGCCACATGTCATTTCAGCAGGTTGATTTTTTTTTTTTGTCTTTTTGAGACTGGGTCTATCCATGCAGTTCAAGCTGGCCTTGAGCTCACTTTGTAGCCTAGGCTGGTCTCGAACTCGCAATGATCCTCCTGCCTCAGCCTCCCGAGCGCTGAGATTACAGGTGTGCGCCACCATGCCTGGCAGCAGGTTGATTCTTGTACTGAATAAATTTTTTTTTTTAAGTTTTTTTTTGGTCTTTTTCGTTTTTATCAGTACCAGGGATTGAACTCACGACTGCCTGCTTGCAAGGCAGGTGCTTATGCCGCTGAGCTAAATCCCCAGCCCCTGTACTGAATAAATTTGATAAAATTGTGGTTCTTATATTTCCTGTTATCTTAAAAAAATTAACAACAAATGCAACTTCTGGTTTTTCTGTATTTAAATAATTGGACTGGTGATTATCTTGCCCTATTATATATACTACTTTATCTCTGAGATTCACTTTTTCTGTAAAATAGGTTTTCTGACTGAACTTTCAAAAAATCTAGTCTATATTTATAGAATGGAATGCTTTTAATTCATTAAATATAATAGAGGTGAATAGTTACAAGGACAGTTCCTAGCCAGACATGGTTGTGCACACCTTTAATTCCAGCACTCTGGGAGGGTAAGGTAGGATTGCAAGTTCAAGCCCAGCCTGAGCAACCTAGAATGTTAGAGAAACAAAACAAACCAAAAATCAATGACAGCTAAAATAAGGCCCTAGATTCATTCTCCAGTACGTACCCCCACCAAAAGTTACAAAATTACATGTGTAATATGGTGCTCCCTCCTTTGCATACCCAGGGTCTTCCTACTGAGCTACATTCCTAGCCCTCTTTTTAAAAAAATCTCTTAAGTCACCCAGGCTTGGGCCTTCTGCCTCAGCCTCCTAGAGTGCTGGGATTACAGCTGTGCGCCACCACACCTGGCTTATTTTTATAAACACTAAATCGGTGAGAAGGTTAGGAAGTGTGTACACCAAGTCATTTATCATGTTTATGATGTGTGTGTGTTTATTTATTTTTGTCTTGTGCATTTTATTCTTTACTACAAAGGAAAAATTATTTTAATTTTCAGTGCTTTTTTGGTGATACCGTTGGAATACTCAGTGAGATAATGAATAGTAAAAGTAGTTAACAAGTCTTAAATTCTTATCACTGTAAGACAGTTTGATAATTATTGTAGAAAAGCAAGTCATCAGTTTGTTGTTTTTGTGAATAAAGTGTTTAAGTCTTTAATTTTTCAGTGATCAGTGATCTAGCTTTCTGAATGTTATCTTTTGGTAGTGAGGGATAAAGTAACAAGTTTACAAAACAATGCTAATTGGTTAGTTTATAGTTAGACTACTATGCAAGAGAAAAGTGAAGACTGATTGTGATAGGAATTTTTTCTAAAAAGTAAATGTATTGAATAATGGGATAGAAAAAAGGATTGGGTGATTGTGTAATCAAAGAAATTGTGTGTATTTTTGTCCAGGTCATGTTAGAACAGAAAAAGAATTGGGCTCTCTTATTAAATTAATCCATTCTATTTATTTCTTATTCTTGGGCAGATTTATAGTCATCAAAGAACCTGCCAAGATAATGTTGGATGAACAAATTTTTGTCACTTATTCTATTTTATTTCATATACTTCTGAGTCATACTATTAGCTCTCTGTGTATCAGGAAAGACTTGTGTCACAGAAGAACTTAAAATGAATCGGGAAAAGAACATTAGAAAACAGACTGCGGCAAGATTATACTTACAGGGCTTACAGTCTTATTTGGGGTCATTTAAATAGTTCTTTATGAAGGGAAGGATGATAAAATAGCAAAAACTGGATTTTGTTTTGTTTTTGAAATCATGAGGAAGAAACCTCCAGACGGTGAGCCAGAGCCATCCATTCGTGGCAGTGGTATGTTTTGCACAAAGCTTGTACTTGCTTCTGGATGAGCAACTCCTCCAGTTATCATTGCCTATAGGAGAGCAGGGCTCGGGTGGACACTTAGAGCATGCTGCTTTGTAACTAGACCAGTAATTGGTATAACAATCTAATTAAAATACTAGCAAAGTGAAAAAGGGTGGAGCCTAACCTGGACAATTTAGTGACTTAGACCCTGTCTCAGAAACAGAAGTGAGGCGGGTAGCTGGGGATGTGTTGTACTGGGTTTAATCCCCGGTGCAGGGCAGGGAAAAGTGAGGGTAGCTTATTTTTAGTTTTATGGAATAATATAGGCCCTGGGATACATGTTCTATATTGTTTGGCATAGCATTGTGAATCCAAACTGATTTCACTTTAAGTATTTGCTAAGGAATGTCTTGGTATCCCCAAAACAAATGAAGTCTTTTCAAATCTTTGAACAGAGTTACAGACACCTTGGCATTCATTGACTCTGGTAGGTGATGATGATTCAGGGAAATGCAGTACTTATGCATTAGTTGAAATATGTTTAATGCTCACACAATCTCTGAATTCCTTCATTTTACAATATACTATTAATAATGCTTCATTAAAAATAGAAATTGGAAATACTTTTAGTATTTTGGAGTATTTTGGGTTTTAAGACAATGAATTTCTAGTTTGTGCTTGTTAAAGGTATATTTTGTTTATAGCATTAATTATTAAAGTTTGCTGATTCCTTCACCACTTGCTCAAAGTTCTTATTGTTTGTTCCTAATTTGGATGCCCTGCTTAGAACATGACAAACTGGTTTGTTTGTTTTTTTTCACTGTAGAATTTTTTAAAGCACAAATGTTAGGGCCTGTCTTGCTTTTAGAATTTGCTGTTGCTTTTTAGGATACTTAACTATTGGAGAAATGTGATTTGCTTTTTTTTACACAGGTGATGATGTCAAATGTAAAGATTACATTGTTGCACTGCAGCACCCGGTGACCACTGACATTAAGCATTCCATAAAAATGTTTGAATTAACACTGGATGCACTTATCTCATTTAACAAGCGGACCCTTGTTCTGTTTCCAAATATTGATGCAGGTAATTGAATCATGTCACCCGTCTCTTCAGATTTTGTTTCTGTTACCTCTTGGTTGCCTTCCTGTCTTGCCTATCTCTAATGGAAGGCCACTGTACTCTGAAATGCATTCCAGTTTTCAAAGAGTTACCTGTTTTTCTAAGATCAAAGAGTTGTGATGTTTTTGTTGTGTGGTAGAAACTTAATTAAAAAAAATAGATTTTTTAAAAAATCGCTAATCTCTACTTTAGCCTCATTTGAGTTTTCACCAACAGCCATGAGACATAAATCTTAGAAATCAAAGTGAAAGAGTAAAGTGATTCCCAGGGAGTGATTCCCCTGCTCACAGTAAAATGTCCATAATTATTATTCCTTGTTGTTTTTGTTTCTAATTTATGGTAGCTGTACCTTAAAGTAATCTCGAGCATAAGCAGTTTGGATCTGGAGTCCCCAGCCAGTTGATCCTCAGGCTGCCCTGGTTGTCATCTGCTGGTAGGTGGTACAGTACTGAGGGCTTGGTACTAGGGAGAACTTAGGACCAGCTCATGGACAGATGAGGTACAAATGAGAAAAGCTGGAGCAGACTTGCCACAGAGGAACTATCAAATACTAATGGTTATTGTTAGCCGAGACTGTTCATTGCTGAGTGCTTAGGCGTTTTTTGATAAAGAAGGATTTCTCAGCAATGCCCACATCCTCACCATCTGACTCTGAATGAATCGCCCTTTTAATGTCCCTTGAATAATCTTTTATGTTAAGAGAAACAGATAAGGTATTAGTTGAAAAAAAAAAAAACTACAGTTATACCCCAGTTCATGAGTGCTTCTGTTTGCAGATGATTTAGTTTGCAAGCAAAAGTGTTTGGCAAAATTTTGCTTCCCTTTGCAAACTCTGTATTGGGTGATAAACCATGGCAATCTTCCCACACAAACACAAATGCAGCCATCTTCCTCCAAATTGTGAAACACATTAAGTTCATAAACTGAAGCACAATTGTACTGGGTCCAGATTTTGTTCAGGTAATGTATAAATATTTCAGAAAACTAATATTCTTTCCTAATCCTTTAAAGCTGTATAAATATTTATAGTGTATTTAAGTATCTTTCAATGATACATTCTATTTGTAATGTACTTTTCTGAATGTATACACCTTAGAGTAGAACTATGTTTCCTCTGTAAAAATAAAGGGCCCCATTATTTAAAGGTGAGTATTTAAATCATGAATGCCACTATGGGTTTTTTGATAAAATGTATATAGGGAACAATAGGGAAGTATAAAAGCTTCACTTTGTCCTTATCTGGGCCCTATTCCCCAATATAGAGTTTTCTAGGAAACTACATTAGTGTACATGGATTATTGCTAAGAGTCCAAGTCTGAATCTTGGAGTAGAATACCTCTGCTGCCCACTAGTAATTACAGATGAGGACTGGTATGCTCTGGTAAGACCTTATATAGAAACAGATGGCCTGGTGTGATCCAAGGAGTGAGACCCTGTCACGTAGAGGAAGTTAGAACACACATGCACAGCTCCTGCTCATTCAGTGGCACCTGCCCACTCTGGGCACCTCTCTGTCTTGTAACCATTCAGAATAGCAGATTTTCCTTCCTGGGCTAGAAGAAATAAACCAGAGTCACAAACAGAGAGGCAATGAATAGAAGTTCCTCATCATAGATCTTTCAAAAAAATTTAAATCAGGCATTTAAGATAAAATACCAATCTAGGGGTATAGCTCAGTGCTTAAAATGTTTGCCTAGCACACTGGGTTCAATCTCAGCACTGAAAAAAAAAGTGTGAAAGAAACACAAGATAAAACAGCAGCACACTGTGTTCTTGGAGCTTTGTCTGCACACGTGGGGTGGACCCTGATGAACTGTTAGTATGAGTGTGAGCAGAGCTCAGCAGGGGGTCTGATCCCCTTGGGGCTGGAGCCTGTGATGTTTCTGTTTAGAGATGGCTGTGCCTGTTTAGGATAAATGTTTTTACTGGGTTCTGTTTGAGGATAGGTTTTTTTTGTTGTTGTTTGTTTGTTTGTTTTTTGGTACCGGTCATCAAACTCAACTTCAGCTCACCAGCCAGGCGCTTGTACTGCTGAGCTAAATCTTCAGCCTGGCCCTTTACTGGGTTCTGTTTGAAAAGCTCCTACTGCTGCTGTTTGGAGACCCTAAAGGAATTGAAACAGAACTGGCCACATGTTTTAGATGCTTGTTATTCATGGAAATGCCACTGGTTACAATTACTATTCCCCAGTAACTAAGGAGAGTGTTTGGGGAGATTTCTTTAGGGGGACACTTGCCAATGAAGAGGGCTTCTTTGTCTCAAGAACTGTTTCATAATCATTTCTTTCCATTTCACAGGGAGCAAAGAGATGGTTAGAGTGATGCGGAAGAAGGGCATTGAGCATCACCCCAATTTTCGCGCAGTTAAACACGTACCATTCGACCAGTTTATACAGCTGGTTGCCCATGCTGGATGTATGATTGGGAACAGCAGCTGCGGGGTACGGGAGGTTGGAGCTTTCGGAACACCTGTGATCAACCTGGGCACACGCCAGATTGGAAGAGAAACAGGTGTTTGCTTTTACTTATGTTTTACCTACTTAGGCTTTTCATATTTGTATGGTTTTTATGAGGTGTGTGTATGCCAGTGAAGATGTATATTCCTATGAAGTGTGAGCAGATGAGATGAATATTAATAGCCTAGGATCTACAGATAATCTATAAATAGCACATAGTGATTACCGAAGTTTTTAGGGTTCTACTTAGGTTTTATTACATTTGTAATATTAGGGCTAAGTGATTGTGAGTTAATTATGATCTCTAGCCAGGTGAGATAAGTCACACCTCTAAGTCCAGTACTAGGAAGCTGAGGCAGGAGGACTGTTACAAGTTTGAGGCCAGCCTGGGCTACACAGTGAGTTCAAGGCCTGTCTGAATTATATGGCGAGACCCTGCCTCAGAAAAAACCCAACAAACAAAAAACCCAAAATAAAATACCGTCTCTGATGGCCTTGTTCAAGAGAGAATAGTAGCACACACCTGTAATCTTAGCACTTGGAAGGCTGAGGTAGGAATGCTGCAAGTTCAAGGCCAGCCTGGGCTACATAGCAAGACCCTGCCTTGAAAAACAAAACAAAATGAACAGAGAGGGAGAGAGGATGTGGCTGAATCTGTCATGGATGTATGAGTACTGCATTTTCATGCACTGGACCTAGGGTACTTTCAGCTCATACTTGAGAAGATGGCGATTCTCTGTAAGGTGCTTCCTAGTTACAGTGTAAGTAGTGGCGGTACTGATGACTGTGTTGAGGTAGATCCTGTTAACATTCGCCCCTATTCTGATAACTGTCCACATGCGGGTGTCTTTGTGTAGCTGAGAGAAACATGTGTGATGTCATGGAGAAGGAGCTGGACTAGGACCAGGGGACCAGTTCCACTGCTGGTCCTTCTTCTACTCTCCAGAAGTGCCACCCTTACTTTCTGTTATCTTCAGATCTCTCAGTCTTAGAATGCTTAACGCTTAAGAGTTCTGGTGAAGAGGGAAGGCTGGCAAGGGAGACTGAAAAGGAGCTGCCAGTGAGGTCAGAGGAAAACCAAGAGGTGTAGTATCATCAAAGCCAAGAAAATGAAGTGTTTTGAGGTAGTGGTGCTGAAAGCTGCAGAGTGTTCACGAAAAACAGGAAAGGGATTGGTAAAGTGGTCTCTGCTTTCTGCCCCTGCATGGACATACATGTGGGCACCCATCTAAGAGTCCTCCCCTTCTCACCTTTAGAGTGGAGTGGGGAGAGAAGTGCGTGTCTCCTGCCCGTCACAGCTCGTCCTCCTCCCCGCTGTGCTCTAAGCCCCATCCCAGCTGCCTCCTCAGGAACCTGCCCATCTGTTATGCTTTCTCTTCCTGTGTGGTTAGCCTTGTCACCACTTAAACATGTAGCTGCCTAGCGGCCTAGAGACGGTACAGACAGCCTTCCTCTGATCTTGCATCCCTCTCCATCACTCACTACTCTTCCTCTCTTCATGGCCAGGCCGCTTGACAATTGTGGCTGTCCTTTCCTTGCTGCAGTCACTGTCTCACACTGGTCAGCAAATGTGTGTGGAAAAGTGGCTGCTTGAGCGGCTGGCTGGCCAGCTCTGCCTGCCCAGCTGAGTAGACACATGGAGGGCGGGGCGGGTTGAGGGGTGGACTTGATAGGTGACAGGGAAGTTGGACATGGGATGCCAGATTCAGCCACTTTGTTTATGCCAGTAAACAAGTGAAACTATGCTTTACACCTTTGGGAATTTGCCCTTAAATGTGTAAAAATTATACCAAAAGTGCTTGGCAGTCTGCTGGGTTTCAGGATTGAATTATAAACATAACACACTGCTGACTGTTTGTTCTTTGGATGCTTCTACTTCCAAATCACTGAAATGTGTCACTGGATTTACCCAGGGGAGAACGTCCTTCATGTACGAGATGCTGATACTCAAGACAAAATACTGCAAGCACTGCACCTTCAGTTTGGTAAACAGTACCCTTGGTGAGTATGGCATCTCTCTTTTGGAGTGGTTTAAAAGGAGAGTGCCTCAGAAACTATTTGAAAGCTCCATGTTGCATCATCTGAAGAGGATTTTCTTCTATGCTTAGGGTGCCTTAGCTGCAGTGAGACGGAGTAGCAGATACATCTTTCTTAGTGCTCTGCCACAGTTCCAGTGTCTTTTTTTTTTTTTGTCTTTCTCGTTTTTGTCGGTACCAGGGATTGAACTCATGACTGCCTGCTTGCAAGGCAGGCGCTTATGCCACTGAGCTAAATCCCCAGCCCCCATTTTCTGTTTTTTTTTTTTTTTTTTTTTTTTTTTTGTCATTTTTATTGGTACCAGGGATCGAACTCACGACCGCCTGCTTGCAAGGCAGGTGCTTATGCCGCTGAGCTAAACCCCCAGCCCCCTTTTTTTTTTTTTTTAAATTTGTCTCAATTAAGTAATGTAGTACTTTGGCTGGGAAATACTTCTTTAGCATAATTTGATGTTCTATAAGAATATAAAATTGTATATAATGATTTTTCTAGGTGGATTTATGTTTTGAAGTGTGTATACATTATAGAGATGTTACTGTATTTTTTGAAGTTCTGGAGATTGAACCCAGGGATGTGCAAATACTAGGAAAGTACTATATAACTGAGATACATCCCAGCCCAGAGATGTTAGTTTGTGTGTTTTTTGTTTGTTTGTTTGTTTTTTGGTGACTATATTGGAAATTCAGTCCAGGTCCTTCTCACTAGCTTTCATGAAGTTGCCCAGAGTGGACTTGAATTTGCAATTGTAGTATATGTTAGGATTATAGGTGTGTACTACTATACCCAGCTAAGATGTTATTTAAATTTTTTTTTTTTTTGTTAGTACTGGGAATTGAACTCATGATCTCGTACTTGCCAGGCAGGGGCTATGCCACTAAGCTATATCCCCAGCCCTAAGATGGTATTTTAAAAAGCAGACCATGAACACTTTTTATATTAAATCCTGTCTGTAATACAGTGTAACATGCATGGCAGACGCACTTAATTGTCTTTTTTGAATACTACAGTTCAAAGATCTATGGGGATGGAAACGCTGTTCCACGGATTTTGAAGTTCCTCAAATCTATTGATCTTCAAGAGCCACTACAAAAGAAATTCTGCTTTCCTCCTGTGAAAGAGAACATCTCCCAAGATATTGACCATATTCTTGAGACTCTGAGTGCCTTGGCTGTTGATCTTGGAGGGACAAACCTTCGCGTGGCAATAGTCAGCATGAAGGTAAAATCACTGCTAAGCTCTTGGGAGTAATTGATTTTTAAAACTTATGTTTAGAAGGGAGGATTGTCAACAGACAGAATCCATGGAGGTCACCAAAGTAGAAGTGGGGAGCACTGACTCACTTCATCCATAGGGTGGTTTAGAGGTTCATTGACTCCCGTTTTCAGGACATGTCAGTGGGAGGCATAAAAGGCTTTTTTTGGCAGAATTTTAAAAATACACACGAGAAGAAATAGTCTACGGGCCCTCGAGGGAATCTTGTGGTCTCGAGCTGGGTATATTTATAGGGATTTGAGGATGTTCCTAAAATGGGCTGTCCAGAATGTGGATCCTAGCATACCAGGTCTTGCCCATTTGGCGGGCTGTGTTAAAAGGTAAACCATTTGTGTGTGTGTGTGTGTGTGTGTGTGTGTGTGTGTGTGTGTGTGAAGTTGAGATGTGCTGTGTTCTTAATAGCATGCTTCCTGAGTAGGGGTGGGAAAAAGGCATAGTCAGGCCCAGAGCCAAGTTTTCAGGTTAGTTAAGGCTCCTAGGTTTGGTGTTTTTTTTTTTTGTTTGTTTGTTTGTTTTTTCCCGTCTTTTTCCTTTTTATCAGTACTGGGGATCGAACTCACGACTGCCTACTTCCAAGGCAGGCGCTTATGCTGCTGAGCTAAAGCTCCAGCCCTCATAGGTTTGGATTTTTAAAGGAATCTTTAATACACAAGAAGTCATTTCTTGTAGTGATTTTAAAAAGTATGAGAACATAGAACAGAGGTTAGTACTTTAAGATTTAGTTTTGTAAAAGCATGTTGACAAATATTAATTTTATCTGCAGTTGAACACTGAAACAAATTAAAACAGAAAAATTCAATGTCAATACTGATCTTTCATGCCTAATTGGATTTAGGTATTGAGTAATTTATATTTTATGGAAAGAAACTTTCAAAGTTTCTTCACTTCTTTCATCGTGTGCTATCATTCCTTACCAAAACCTTCACTGAAATTTTAAAACGTGCTGTTAAGAGTAATATTTCTTTTCTTGAATATTCTATAATGTACCGTTTTGAATTAACTTTCAAAATTTTAGACCATGAAATATACATGAATAGAGTACCCAAAAATATGTTTTAACACAGGTTAACTTTGTTTATAATTATGACAGAAACATCTTTACCTTTAAGATAGTAAAAACAAACTGAAAAATCCCCTTCAAATATAAAAGGTGTCTTGGATCAAGTTATTTCCTTGTACAAATAATAGTTTCTCAGTCAAATTCACAAAAAAATTAAAAAGTTATACTTTATTATTGTTAAGCAGTGCATTTAATGTAGTGGAAAAAGATACAAGAATTCTGATTTAAAATCTCAAACTATTATAACTTTTAAAATAAGAGATGTAAAAGTGCTAAATTTTTTAAAATGTCAGCATTTCCCAAGTTGTATTATAAATTTAGCATTAGTCAATATTTCCATTGGATTTTTCAAGTATAACAAAATTATCATAAATCACAGTGGGAGTTTTGAAAGTTTAAAGGCATTTCTAAAACTTGGTTAAAATAAGCTGGGCGTGGTGGCTCATGCCTGTAATCCTAGCACTTTGGGAGGCTGAAGCAGGAGGATCATTGTAAGTTCGAGACCAGCTGAGCTCAAGGCCAGCCTGAACTTCATATTGAGACCCTGTCTCAAAAAAGACAAAAAACAAAAAAATCCCCTGAGTTAAAATAATGAGATAAGCAAAGAAAAATGTAAAAGCAATAAGTAGAGATTATACCTGTTTAGTATTAAAACATATCACGAATGCACAATAATTTAAATGATGCGGTATTTGAACTAGCCAGCAGGGCATTTAAAAACAAATAAACAAAGAGTATTTATAGCATTATTGGCTTCAAATATGGGAGATGTTTAAATTTAGCTACTTAGGACACTTTGACTCAGTATTTAAAAGAAAATTTTGTCAGCCAGACAGAGCGAACTATGCCTGTTTAATAAAGTAGATTCAGATTACTCACCATTCACGTTGGTTTAAGAGAAGGCCATCTCCTGGGCTGTTAGGCGGTCGTGGCTGGGGCAATCCTATTAGGACAGGTCCCTAACACTACTCAGGTTACTCAGCTGCTCCCTCCCCAGGAGTCTTCTCAGGCTGCAGAAAAAGACCAGAGGAGTCACAGCATGCTCCCTAGCTAAGATCAGTGAGAGGTTTTGTTTTTTCTCTTTTAGGGTGAAATAGTTAAGAAATACACTCAATTCAATCCTAAAACTTATGAAGAGAGGATTAATTTAATCCTGCAGATGTGTGTGGAAGCGGCAGCAGAGGCTGTGAAACTGAACTGCAGAATTTTGGGAGTAGGTGAGAGTAAATTACAAATCCAGGAAATGTTTACTTTAATGCATACCGTCTCTTAAGTGGTTTGCTTCGCTGGACATCACGTCCGAGTCTGCCCTGAGTATAAATAGTTCCACTTTCTGTCTGTGACCACAAGCAACACAGCAGGCATCAGGGAGAAGCATGGAAGGTTCTGGTTTTTTGGTACCTACGATTGAATTCATGACCTGGGACTTAGCAGGCAAGTGCTTGAACCCCTGAGCTAAGTCCCCGGCTCTGTGTTAACAGTTCTGTACATAGGTGGGGAGTTACAGATTTAAATCAAAACTGTCCGGGGCCTGGGATTTAGCTCAGCGGCCTAAGCGCCTCATTAGTAAGTGCAAGGTCATGAGTTTGATCCCTGGTACAAAAAAAAAGAGAAAACTGTCTGGTGTTTTGTCGTAGTCCTTGGTAATGTTTGTGTTAGGAGTTTGGGGTGCTGTAATTTATGTTTGGAGCTGAGAGAAGTTAGCATTACTTTCCTAGGATTGCTAATCCGAATTATTTCACTTGTGGGTCTCAGGCATTTCCACAGGTGGCCGTGTAAATCCTCAGGAAGGAATCGTCTTGCATTCAACCAAACTAATCCAAGAATGGAACTCTGTGGACCTCAGGACCCCACTGTCTGACACTTTGCATCTTCCTGTGTGGGTGGACAATGATGGCAACTGTGCCGCCATGGCAGAAAGGAAATTTGGTCAAGGGAAGGGCCTGGAAAACTTCGTGACACTTATCACCGGCACAGGTATGAGGGGAAGGGAAGCTTGCTTAGGGAGCTGTAGTGTGCACAAGCCTGAGTCCCTTACTCAGCCGGTCACAGCTCTGCCTCAGGCTTCACTTGCAGCTGGAGTGGAGCGCTAAGGCACGAGGTTTTCTGAAGTCTTTTTGAGCCTTGCTGCCAAGCTGGGCATACCTGTGGACATTCTAAATTCCCAGGAGCTTTCAGCTGTTCAGAGTTCTCACGTTCCAAAGCTTTTCATTCCGGTTTACGTTCCAGTTTTTGGTTAGTCTCTTTGGTTACTCTCTTTGGTTATGTCTCAGCTGTTATGCTTTGTTCTGGGAAGCAGAGAAAATATATTTGTCTTTAAATGTTCTTATTCGATCTCCAGTACAAAAAAAATGTTCTATATAAACCTCCCCATGCAACTTCCCTGAGCAGAGGGATAGACCCTAGTCAGGTGAGTGTAAAAGCAAGCCTTTAAACTGCCCCGCCATTTGCAGCCAGGTAGGTCAAAACAGTTTTTGAGTAAGTCATTTTTGTTCTCTCAGTTACTGGTACACAGTACTTATATCTGTATATCAGTGCTGGAAACATGGCTGTTGTTCAAGGTGACTGTCAACCCGGGAAGTGAGTGCTGGGATGAGGGTAAACCTCCAGAAAGCTCTCCAATTGGGATTCAGCAGATTTTCTTTCTTTTCTCCTGCTCCCCGCCCCCCCCCCCCCGTTGTTATAATTATTGGTTCCTTTTAGGCTCCAAAAAGGTTGATTCTGTTTTACCAGATAGTTCATTGTGCTAGTAGCAGGGTAAACCTAGGGAGTTCCCTACTCTGTTTCATAAATATCCTAATTTGCTTGTGTTTTGTTTTCTGTTTTATTTTCATGGTGTATGTCATAGTTACTTTTCTCTTGTTGCTGAGACAAAGTACCTGATGCCCAAATTAAAAGAGAGAAAGGTTATATTTAGCTCACAGTTTGTAGAGGTTTTAATCCATAATCAGCTGACTCTAAAGCAGGGTTGTAGGCTAGAGATGTGGCTAAGTAGTAGAGTGCTCACCTAGCATGCACAAGGCCCTAGAGTTGAATCCCCAGTGCCAAAACAAAGCAGGGTGTCATGGCTGAGGGGCAAAGCAAAAGAGGGAAGCACAAGTCTCTTTTCCTCCCTTATAATACTATAAGCGGGATGCCTGCCTTAGGGAGCAGGTAGCACTCACACAGGATGTTTTACAAAGTGAAAACCCTGGCCCCCTGCTGAGTCATTTGGTTACCCTTCTAAACTTCTCAAATTGACACAATGAATTAACCATTACAACACCCTACAGCTTAAAGAGTTGCCCTAGGACATGTCCTCTACCCCAGGATGTAGAGTTGCTAGTTACTTAGTTAAGCTTTTAAGCTCCTCAAGTTGACACAGTGCATCAACCATTACACTGTATGTTTAAGTGCATACTTTGTTTTTAAAATGAGGACACAGACTTAGCTTGTGATTGGGTCTGCATTTCATCTTAGATGTGCCTAATTTTAAAACTCAGGAGTACTTAAACATTATACCACCTCCCCTTTTGGCTTATGTCCACATACACTTCTTTAGCTTAAACTCCTTTTCCTAATCAATAGTTGTCAATAAGTTGCAAATGAGATGAGTGGGGGTGGCAGAACACCTCTTAAAAAGCTGAGGCTATGTCTGCAGGAATACAGCTCAGTGGCCTCAGTGTCTGCCTGGCAAGTGCAGGTCCTGAGTTTGATTCCCAGTACAAACGAAAGCAAAAGCCCTTCTAAGGCCAGATGTCCTTTACTCCGTAGAAACTCTAAACTCCATAATAAAAGACAGCAGTCATTTAAACTTGCAGCTTTTAAAAAAATCTTTTAAAACCAAGGCATTTAATTGTTGAAAGTCTCAAGATGAACCAGATGCTATGACAGCTGCTCTCTTGGGTGTAGGTGTTGTTCCTTCACAGATCCATGGCTGAATCTGCGGTACACAATTTTTAGGTGCCTCGTCTGCCCGTTTCTGGTGGTATTTCCCCTTTAGCCTTTGTACTCCAGCTATATATTCTCTTGCCCCTGGCAGTTCAGCCACGTTTGCACCTGGTCTGCTTCTGAAGGTGGCAGGCCCTAGAGCCACAGCGGCGGCACAGTGTGTGTGCATTGTCACAGCGCTTTCCAGAGGGCCACGTTCCCTTCTTCATCTCTCCTGTGCTGTTAAGATCAAAGAGCTAAATTTGTAACATTTGATTCACAGATTCTTAGACATGGCAGCATCAAGAAGAGGCAAAAATCAAATTTCATAGTCCTTGTTTTAAGAAGCAGGTGCTATGTGATAATATTCCAGGTTTGGCGGGGGGCAGTTACCAGAGATTGTACTTTTCACTGAGCTACCTCCCTAGCCATTTTTTTTGGACAGGCAGTCGAACTCGGGACCTTACACTTGCCAGGCAGGTGCTAAGCTGCTGAGCTATGTCTCCAGCCCCCAGCCATTATTATTATTAATTTTTTTTTTTTTTAAATTTTGAAACAGGGTCTCACTCGATTACTCAGGTTGGGCTCTAACTTGACAGTTCTCCCGTCTCAGTCTCCCAGAGTACTGGAATTACAGATGTGTACCACTTCAGCCAGCTTAGAAAAATTTTTCTTACTGTAGTTTTCCCTCAATGCAGAGCCCAATACAAGGACTGAGGAACAGGTATTTTCTTTGGGAGGTGATCCTGAGAAGCAGGAGGTAGGCAGAACAGGAGGAAAGCTATTACAGGATACATTACCAGTGCTTCAAGGACAGGGAGGGCTGCAGGCTCCTAGGCCTCTGAAAAGCCTGTGGAGCACCATGAGAGCCCCATCTCGTCACCCCTGGCTGCAGGTGGCTGTGTGGCTGACAAGACTTCCTTGAGTGTAGAAGGTCTTGGTGTGTGCCTGCAGGAAGTCCCATTAACTGAGGCTGAGTCACATGTCCTGCGCTGGCTGCTGCAGCTTTATCTGAAATCATAGTGCACTAAGCAGATGTGACACAGGGGATCAGGAGATCTGCTAGAAATATTTCCTGTCAAAATGCTGCCAAATAACATTGTGGTGCTCAGTAAACTTAAAAAAGTGAAGGGGGGTTTCTGGTGTGGGCATCCTCGCTGAATGGAAGATGAGTGTGAGCAGGATAGTTCCAGAGTGACTTCCAGGTTTCTGGTTGGACTGCAGTTGCAGCACTGCTGTATCGTAGCTATGCCCATGCAAGTGCCTCCGAGTGATTACCAGGTCTCACTACAGGAATTGGAGGTGGAATCATCCATCAGCACGAGCTGATCCACGGGAGCTCCTTCTGTGCTGCGGAACTTGGCCACCTTGTCGTGTCCCTGGATGGGCCTGACTGTTCCTGTGGAAGCCACGGGTGTATTGAAGCATATGCCTCTGGGATGGCCTTGCAGAGGGAGGCAAAAAAGCTGCATGACGGTTGGTATCTTTTTAGTGATGAAGGGGCCGAGTAAAAGATGGGTGCTTCAACATAGAGGTTCTAAAAAGAGCTGAATACTTTGGACCTCCTGGAAGATGAGCACTGCTCCCTCCTAAACGAGGAAGTGTCCTCGGTCCTAACCCAGGTTAATCCTCTTCCTCACCGAGGGTAGAGGTCTTCTCTTGGCTTTCCCCCGGAATAGAGCCAGGCATGGCCTACAGACATTTTGTTTTTTTGAGGTGACCCTGAGATGCACAACGGAGTGGAAGAGTAGAGCAGGAACAAATCCATGAAAAGATGTGTTGTCAAAGCTGAGCCGTGAGGACCTGGAGCTTTAAGACAGCAGGAAGGTTTTCATGTTTGTTTTCTCAGCTGTCAACACAGAGTGGATACTTAGTACACATTTTAATGAAGAAATAAGTAGATGAACATGTTACAGTTGTTGCACACTGCAGGATTATTTGAATTAAAGGCATTTATAGACATGATAAAAGTCAGGGTGGTTTCTAATTAATGCAAAGGAGCTACTGTCATCATAACACAATATGCCAGCTGTGTTGAGAACAAGAGCTAAGGAACACAGATGCACATAAGGACATGGAAGTCCCTCCCTCCCCAAGGAAGGGCGTGCCAGGGTGCCATCCTGGGAGTCAAGCATCAGATTCATGGATTAGCCAGTATGGCAAGCATGGATGGCCAGTGGAGGTCTTCTGGGCATGGAAACAGTGCTGTGGGTGCCTGAAGGGCAAGACAAAGTGTAGTGCTCCAGGAGGAAACCAGAACCAGTAGGTCATAAAGCATTAAAAAGCGTGCAGGGAAAAGGCAGAGATCTGCATGTTAGATTCAGTAAACTGACTTTTTGTTTCTGGGGTGGGGGATCCTAGCTGAATTGAAGATGAGTGTAAGCAGGGTAGCTCCAGAGTGACTTCCAGTTTTCTGATTGGACAGTTCAGGGTTGAGAGTCTTAAGAGGAGGAACAGGTTTAGGTGGAAGATGATGATGGTGGGGTGCATGTGGGACCTCCAAGTGGAAATGTCAGGGAGGCACTGGAAATGGATCTGCAGCTCAGCAGAAGTGACTGGATTAGAGGGGACTTGGGACTCGTCAGTACGATATGAGGATGGTAGTGAGGCCAGGTGTGGTGGCATATGCCTGAATCCTCGCATTCAGAAGGCTGAGGTGTAGGGGGCTTACCAGGGGTGTGAGGCCAGCCTGGGCTACATGTCGAGTTCAAGTCCAATCCAAACTACATAGTGAGACCCTGCCTCCAAACAAAGAAGCAAATGGTTAGGGTGGTGGGAATGAGACCCAGGGAGTGGGGCAGTAGAGGAACAGGAAGAAAAGTCACAAAAGGAGAACAGCACTTACGTGTGGTGAGGTGTTGCAGAGAACGTGTAGTTAGCTGTGTCCAGTATTGGAACACTGGAAAACTCCACTGGCTTTGGCCCTCAGGACATCATTTAGTGCCCTAAAAACTGCACTTCTTACTATGTTTTCATTATTACCTGATGACACTTTTAGATGTTTTATAATTATTTCTTTTCCACAAAACATTGACACCTTGGATCCACTGCGTATCTGTTAGTGTTCTATGTGTATGTCTGTGTTTTCTACATAAAATGAGTAAGATATTTTGCTTTCAAAATGAAAGTGTGAGCATAGGCTGAAGGGAAGGAGACAGTAGGCTTGGACGGCAGGTGGAGCACGCTGTCAAGGACTGGTGTGTGGTCCCTGGAGAGGTGGGGAGAGGTGAGCTGCACAGTGAGAGGGCTGCACAGTGAGAGGCTCCAGAGAGGACCAGAAGCGCAAAGGTGTGCAGACACTGGTGTGTTTATTTGTGGGGGCAAAGGAGTAGAGGAATCCTTCCTGGTGGTGTCTTTTAACTGAGGTAAGGAGTATGGAAATCCAGAATGTGAAGGTAAAGAGAGCAGGAGGGAGAACAGGAGAGAACTGGAAGCTGCAAGGCCCAGGAAAGAGAGAAGAGCAGAAGTTGCAGTTGGGGACTTTATCAGAGCCCCAGAGCAGATCAGGTGGCAGACTGAGCTGGGTTGACACCTGACAGAGAAGGACTGGTTAACAGAAACTCCCGCCACTCACTTAGCATTACTTTGGCCAGCAGTGTAAGTATTTTGTGTCCATTGTCTCATTTAGTCTTCCAAATAATCTGAGGTATCACTGCGCTGGTCTTTTAGAAAAAAGAAACATGTCGAGGTGGAGTGACATGACCAGGTCCGTGGAGCCAGCAGTGGCACAGCTGGACCTGCATAGTCTGTCCCCTGGACCATGGGCCCTGGGGAGCAGTGCAGTGTCCTATCCAAGATGGCTGAGCAAGGAGCAGAGTGCAGAGTCTGATCACCTGGGAGCGGGGCAGAGGAGTGAGGGACCCTTAGGGCCTCTGTCAAATACTGCCACTGAGAAGCAAAGGAGCCAGAGGGGAACGGGGCTCTGGTGAGACTCAGGGTCTCCTAGCTAGGCCCCTGGCCTGTGCACTATAGCCAGCTAACAGGAGGGCAGCCAAAGCATGGGGTAGAGCCCGTGAGTGTCTATGCTGAGTGGCTCTGAGATAATGAAAAGGAGCCCTTCTCACTGGGCTCACTGCCAGCAGGCACTAATGACTGCTTCTCCTCACTTGGCTCAGAGGATCTGCTCCTGGTGGAAGGGATGTCAGTGCCCAAGGATGAAGCTGTGGGTGCACTTCACCTCATCCAGGCTGCAAAGCTTGGCAATGCCAAGGCCCAGAGCATCCTAAGAACAGGTGAGTCTGGTTCCTGTGGGCCTGCTCGTGGTGACTCAGACACTGCAGTGCTTCCTCTGGGGCATGGTACTTTGCATTGTCTGTTCAGAGCTATTTTTTCCCTGAATTGAGAGAAAAAAATGGGAATTCATTTAAGGTATTTGTCAGCACTACCGCATTACTTTTTTTTTTTCTTGAGATAGGGTCTTGCTGTTTACAGGTTCAACTCAAACTTGTGGCAGTTCTGCCTCAGCCTCCCAAGTGCTGGGATTAAGGTGTACACCACCATGTCTGATTAGCATTGCCCGTTTGGTTTTGTTTTTTGAGACAAGGTCTTGCTATATAATTCAGACTGGCCGCAAACTCACGATGTAGCCAAGGTTGGCCTTGTACTCACTGCAATCCTGCTGTCCCAGCCTCCCAAGTGCTTGGATGCCAGGCGTGCGCCACGACGCCTGGCTCTAGTGTTGTGGGTTTTTTGTTTTGTTTTTTTAGAATAAAACCAAACAAAAATAAAATAGGATAAAGCCAATCAAAACACAGGATTTCAAAACAAGATAACAGGAAATCAATAATGGTTACCATAATGCCACTTGTCTTCAAAATAGCTGCCATATCTTCAGTCATAGTAAAATCAAACAAAACAGAATAGAAAGAGTAAAACAAAACAGTGAATGCAATACAGCACTTCCAAACAAGATAACAGTAAATCCAAAATGACTATCCTAATATATCATCTTTGAAATAGCTGCCCATACCATCAGATACAACAAAAATCACACAAGATAAAAAAGAATAAAACCCAACCCAACAGAACAATGAGAATGATCAAAACAAGATAATAGGGAATTCACAATGTCCACCGCCTTGGACATTGAACATAGACATAGACATTGAACATAGAAGGAGATTCCTCACATATGCTACATTGCGTATTATCCTCTGAATCAGGCCATCAGCTTTAGGCTGCCGAGTCAGTGAAACCCTAAACACTGTTAGCATTCAGTTGTATTTTACCTCATTGGCTATCATCACTGCCTGTGTTTCTCTGGATCAGCCATTCCCTTGTGGGGTGAGGTGTGGGGGTTGGGAATAGGACGCAGGCTCTTCTCTCTGCCCGCATGCAGGAAGGGGCTGGCGTCCATCTCTTCCCCCAGTCAGCTGCATGGTGTCGACTCACAGGAGGTCGTGGCTTCTGGTTGACTTCTTGCTCTCCTCCCCTGCAGTTCGTGAATGGCACCAACTCATGAGAGCAGACTGGCATCTGGCTCTCCCCCAGTCAGCCTGCACATAGCATTGTCTTTTGAAACAAGTCCTCGATTTGGTCTTACAACTACTGAAAGTAATTTGTGGAATGGTCTGTTTCATAGACTATTCTATTCTACTTTATAGAATATTTTTTTTTTTTTGTCTTTTTTTTTTTCATTTTTATCGGTACCAGGGATCGAACTCACGGTTGCCTGCTTGCAAGGCAGGTACTTATGCCGCTGAGCTAAATCCCCAGCCCCATAGAATATTTATAGAAATATAGGTGAGCAGTAATAACAAGTATCACAAGTTTTGTCATTCAGAATTATCAACTTATTAAAATCTTTTCCAGTGTATTTTATACTTTATTTATAACAGATTATATTGTATAGTACAGGCAATTTTTTTTTTTCTTTTTGAGACAGGGTCTTGCTATGTAATTCAGGTTGGACTTAAACTCACTGTGTAGCCCAAGTTGGCCTCAAACTCACAATGATCCTCCTGCCTCAGGCTCTCCAGTACTGTGATTACTGTTACATGCCACCCATGCTGGCTAGTATAGGCAATTTTATACCCCACTTAATGCTGTCACATAAGCCAGGAATGGAGGTACATGCCCGTAGTCCCAGCACTCATAAGGCAGAAGGAATATCAAGGCCAGCTTTGACTACGAGCAAGTTCAAGGCCAGCCTGGGCTACATAATGAGATTTTTGTGGTTTTCTCATATCAAGAATAAGTCCTGGCCTGTGCCTGGAGGTCCTACTACTACTGACGAAGTGCTGCAGTAGATGGGTCTCTTGAGCCTAGAAGTTCAAGGCCAGCTGCAGTAATAGACTCCCATCATAAAAAAAAAAAAAAAAAAAGGCCAGCTGCAGTAATAGACTCCCATCATAAAAAAAAAAAAAAAAAATAAGAAAAAGAAAAAGAAAAAGAAAAAAAATCAGGAATAGTCTTTAAAATAATGTTTCTTAGCTAGGGATACAGTTTATTGGAGAGCACTTGCATAGCATGTGTGAGGGCCTGGGGGTCAATCCCTACCAAAAATAAAATGTTGCTATGTAATGTATTTTACCTTTTTTTTTTTTTTTTTTTTTTTCCCAGTTCTGTCCTGGAAACTAATTTGTGTTTTCTTGTAGCTGGAACGGCTTTGGGTCTTGGGGTTGTCAACATCCTGCACACTATGAACCCCTCACTCGTGATCCTGTCCGGAGTACTGGCCAGTCACTACATCCACATCGTCAAAGATGTCATCCGCCAGCAAGCTTTGTCCTCTGTGCAGGACGTGGACGTGGTGGTTTCGGATCTAGTAGACCCCGCCCTGCTCGGTGCCGCCAGCATGGTTCTGGACTACACAACACGCAGGATCCACTAGGCCTCACGGGAGTGGACACGGACCGAGACTCTGTCACCCTAGTGGAATCTACTGCTCTTTCAGATGAACATTTCTTAAAAATCAAGAGTGATATTTAACTGTAGGTGATGCTGGCAAAGTACTTTTGCTTTTTTTGTATCCTCTTCCAAATCTACCTTTTCCTATGCCCACTTTTGTAGATGCTGCTTTCTGATGTTTTCCTCATAGGAATCACTTTAGTGTAAACCCCATAAATTCTAGTCACCACTTTCTGTGCCAGAAGGAGCCACAGCAGTGGACCCAGAAGCCTTAGGACTCTTCTTGCCAAGGTACCACTGAGACCTGCAGGCCTGCTTTGGGATGCGAGCGGTCTGCGTATATTTGGTTAACAGTCTTCCTTCTCTCCCCCACCTCTCACATAAAAGGAAATCCAGTCAAGGAACAGAAGAAACTTACAGGAAAGGCTTTTAAAACTTAAAAAAACAGCTTTATTGACTTATTTTTAAAGCATATAATTTAATAAGCTTTGGCTTATGTATTTACCTGGATACCATCAAGCCATCAAGACATTGGACATTGTCACCCTCAAATGTCTTTGTGGAAAGATGTTATTACTCTAGCAGAACTTGAAAGGCTTTAAACAAGGGATGTAAATTAAAGTGGCCTTAGTGACCTTGTCCTTATCTTCTTAGAGACAGCTAAGAAGCCACTAGGATTTAAGAGCCTCTAAAAGATTACCCCAAAACAGTCTCTGCTCCTGACCAGCACACACTTCTCCTTTGAAGAGCTTTTCGTTCTCTGTGGATTGTGACCCAGAGGGGCTGTGAAAGCAGTGTTTGCCTGTTTTATACCCACAGCCCAAATCTGAGGGCCTGGACTCTTGACTAAAGAAGATTTTTTTAACCGATGGCAACCCCTCCCCGCAAAGTTCTATTAATTGTAAACTAGAAGAAATACCGCAGCCGCTTTTTTTCCTATCTTTTTGAGACAGGGTCTCGTTGTGCAGTCAGGCTGGCCTTGAGCTCACTTTGTAGCCCAGGCTGGTCTCAAACTTGCAGTGATCCCCCTGCCACGGCCTCCTGAGTGCTGGCATTACAGGTGTGTGCCACCGTGCCCAGCTGCAGCCACTTATTAAGTGCCTACTGGGTAGCAGGCTCTACACTAGGTGCTTCATATACATTCTTAAATCCTTATGACCCTTGAGATAGGTTTTGAATTCTCACTTTATAGAATCCAGCGCTTAAGTGTGTTTAAATGACATACCAACAGCTATGGGGTAATGAGTCTTAAGAAGGTTTGATGGGTCTCTTTCTGCTAAGCCACACAACATTCATTTCAAAAACACATGCAAAATGCTAATACTCAGTTTAGGCTAACAAAAGCTTTAATAAGAATATCTGATTTGCAAATGACTCAATTTATTTTTGATCCTCTTTCTCAGCGATGGAAGTTAATCAAATATTCTTCAGTGCTACTGAACTGTTGCCAGTACAGTATTTGGTCTTCTGACAAGTTTTTATGAGTATTTGTAGATGATCTAAAATAAGCATATATTTTTCAAAAGTTTATTTTAGAAAGCTTGAAGGTTTCCACAGTGCATTATTTCAGGCAGGCATTGTGCCACTGAGCTACATCCCTGGCCCTTACAATGTATTATTTCAAGTGCTGACATAATTAAATTAAAGCAATCAGTGACACATTTGAATGACTTCCTTCCCAGTGAGTTGCCCTTCATTTCCAGGGTTTAGAGTCTGGTTTTTAGTGTCTGGTTTTGTTTCAACATTTCAGGTAGATCAGGCCAGTCCTGGAGTGAGGTTGTCCACCATGGAGGGACATTAGTAGGTCCTTGGTTAAACCTGTTAATACTATACACCAAACAACTGTGCTGCTACCAAATTTCATGTCAAATAGGTGAAGGGGTGGATGGTATTGAATCAAAAACCAAATCTTAGGTTTCATTAAATTTGTACACGTTATTCTGACATAAATTATTGTTTAATCACATCCCCTAATTTATTTTAATGTAAATATTTTTATGTTACTGTTCTGATCCAGATTCTCAACAAATATATTTGCTTGCTGAAATTGTAACACTGTTACATAGTTTTGTTCTTAAGCATTTCCCTTCCCAGAGACCTGTATTATTGCATTATTTAAGGTTATATAACCTAAGGCATCTAATCAGTGTTTTCTTAATAAAAGCCTATTAATAGAAAGCAATTATACAACATTTAAAATTTGATGTAAAAAAGTAAAGTGCTCCAAAAGAGGTTTGAAACTAAATGTTAAGCATCCACTAGGTCCCTCCTTTTATGCAGCCCCCAGGTTGGTAAAACCTGCACTGAAACAATCCTGTTAACACTACTGTGCAGCATCTGAAAGAGCTGCCAACAGTTGTTCTGAGATTCTGTGCGTCCAGAATTTGGGAGAAGAGCTGTACTTGGCAGGTCTGGCTCAGAGGACTTGCACTTGTTAATGGCTAGAATAGCAGGCAGTTATGGTATCTAGGAATTGGCAGGGCATCAGGTGTTGTTCTGTGGGGGCTACTTTGGTTTCTTCACAGTACGGCAGGTTCACGTGCTAGAACAGTGGTGGCAAACCTTTGGCACTCATGCCATAGCGTTACGTCATTGACAGCTCTGAAAGGTCCCCCTTCGCTGTGTTAGATCTTTTAATGTAATGGCTCAGGGCTACCAGCTGGTATGTTCCAACAAATCAACATTTTATGACTCATCATTGAAGGTCACACAGCATCATTTCTGTCACATGTAGTTAGTTACCTCTTGATCTAGACAATGTCAGATTTTGTTTACCTTTTAAAACTACCACATTCCCCTCAAGTCCTACCTGGTATGGGAAATGAGACTGGTTAGGATTATAATACCAAAGCAGTACCAAGCAGGCTTTCCCAGGCAGAGGGTCATGGGCTGTAGGAGGGAGTAAAGGCAGGCATTGTGGAGGTGGCCTTTTGAGTGGTTCCTCAGATTGTGATGTCTTGAACAGCACTATGAAGATTCTATAGTAACAAATGGTTTGTGAATGGCACGGACTGCTTAATTTAGAATGTGCCAGAGACTGGGAAAGCAATCCTGCTGTGACATGTCACCCCACTGATGGCCAGGATTGATGCGGTTGATGTGGCTGGCTAAACAGATGTCCTTTCTTACTGATCCATGTACATCCTTCCCAAAGCTGTATGCTCAGTCCAGAGGATGCCATCCCCAGGCGGGGAAGTGCCTTCCTCAGTCGGGGATACAAGTAGCTGCTTCCCTGCTAGAACCTCTAAACAAGCTGTCAAGAATGTGCCAGGTATGGTGGTGCATGCCTGAAATCCCAGCACCTGGGAAGCTGAGGCAGGAGGATATTCATGAGTTTGAGGCCAGCCTGAACTACATAGCAAGACCATTTCAAAAGTGATACAAGAATGAACACAGTGAATGTGAGCGAAATCAAAGAAAGCCCAAGCAGCCAGTGCAGTAACAAAAGCTCCACAGGTAACTAGCAGTGGAGGGATGATGAATTAACCCAAGTGTGGTATTACTGGAGTCTGCCTCAGTCTCCAGTTTGGAAAGATCAGTAACTATGCAAAAGGTCACTGTAACACAGCTTTATTACTTGCTTGAAATATCAACAAAGAAGTGAACTACATCAGGGTCTGAGGGCAGGTGATGGATGTGTTAGAGCACTGTCTCTTAGATGCACCCATTGTGTACACTGATGTAGTCCAGGAGCTTTCTGGGAGGAGGAAATGTTCCACAACCTGCACTCCGATACCACCTGCCCACTTCTGGCTAATGAGCACAGGGAATGTGACTGGTGCCCATGATTATTTTTAATCAAATAGCTACTGTGCTTACAGAGTACTATAATGGACAGCCCAGGTTTGGATGGAGCTCTTTATGAGAGAAACAACGAACTAAGAACTTCAACATGTTACAGGAACTGAGGAGGGGGGATTACCCCATATTCATGCCAGCCTGACACTTCTACTGCTGATCTAAGAGAAGATGAAAGGTCTTACTACAGACCACACCCTCCAGACAGATTGCTAGGGAAATATATGGTCCCAGAACCTAAACCAAGGAATGGTGACAAAGTACGAAATGTCTAGGTTGGTGAAGGATTCGGGATGTGTCTAGGTGACAGGGAACTAATGTTTAGCATGCAACTCCCTTTTCTGATGAGAATTTCTACAGAATTCTACTATAGGAAACAAACTTAGAGCTGTTTTAGTTTAAGGTAGGGATGGGAGCCCAATGGCTGTGCTTCCTCAGTCCGAGAAAGGATAGAAGAGAATCCCTCTTACATTAAAGCCTCACTCCAAACTACATCTTGAGGTCAATAAAGAAGCTTCATTTATATTGTTTGAAACAAATTTATTCTCAGAATAATGCACGAAAGCACAGGTTTGAGGCTACTGCTGGCAGCTTCCACCCTTCCTCTTCTTCCCCCCTCCTCTCTGAATGCCAGGGAGAACACAGTTGAAGGAAACATGCAATCACAAACAATGATCAACTCTAAAGACAAAAGGTTTGGTCCAAAAGAACTCAACATAATTAATCCAATTACTGTGAACAGCTTCACGGAGTAGGATTAAGATATTGCAGATGTAGTGTTTCCAAGGGTGGCTCTTCAGTGCACCAGGGGGGCCTGCTTGAGGGAGATGAGGACCGAGCGCATGCGGGAGACGTCTTTGGCCTGCTTGCTGGACTTAGGATTAAAGTCACACAGCCGGGCCACCCGTTCCCACTCTGTGCCTGGGGACGACTCATCAATGTCATTTACAAAGGCTTCTTCTGCTGCCCTGGAAGCAACAACAAAATATGTTGGTTTAATGTAGAACCCTCTTTGAGTAACCTCTTGGCTGCCTTGCTACAGAAAGTAACTGTCTCTTTAAGCTTGACTCAGGGTCCTTCCAGCTTTCCCAAGAGTAACTGTCCCTGGCCCAGGTCAGACATAGGGGCAGATACATGGCCGGTTCTCCTAGGCACAGGGTGCCAGGCTGCTGTGTAAAATGGTGGAATACAGGTGTTTGGTTCGGGTTCACTCTCTCCGTCTAGCTCTCTTTGCTCCTAAGGAGCGTTACAAAAGCAAGTCATTGGCCAGCTATATACTGCTTTCACTAACAGCAAAGCAGTAAGCTGGTCAAAGACTTGGCCAGTAGCTTACGCTGGGCTGTAATGCGTTTCATGGAAATTTCAAGACTTCTAAAAAGCCCGCAGGCCACTGCACAATAGCCTCTAGACTTATTCCTGAGGCTGGAGAGAAATAGGGCAGATAAAAAAAAATTCAAGACAAAGCTCCCATGCTAGCAGGCACTGAGACTACAGCCATTCTGGAAGGGGTTTATTAGAACATTCTCAAATTCAGCCAAAAGTTTGCCATTTTTCTCTCCAATCAGGTGCCTGGAGCCACTCAGGGTGCATTCTGGCAGGAGAGGCAATGTGAGCTGCTTTTTGGGAGGATGCTGCTCTAAAATTTTTCACACCAGTTAAGCCCACCCCCCAGTTGGAAACTAACTGGTGGGAGCTACAGCCCAGAAGGACAGAGGTTAAGAGGTGGGAAGACACAATTCATCTACTCCAACAAGCATCACGGGCAAAGCAGAAGCAATGGAGATGACCGGTCCGTGGGGACAGAGGGGTGGCACTATCACAGGGATGGCCGTGGCAAACACCGCTGAAGCCCAGAGCCACTACAACACTGCGACTTCATGGCACACACAGGTAGGGGCAGTGAGAAAGATTTACTTAACTGTTCTAGGCTGTAGCAAGGATGGTTTATGTTTGTGCTTAAAGGTGAGAAGAAAAGAAACAAGGAGAGAAACTTTAGGTCAGATATAGAAAGTGAGAATGAGCTCAATGCAGATGGTCAGTAAGCTAGACATGCCCTTGCCACTCTATCTACGCTGGGGAACGTGCAGTTGGCTTTGCTGGGCCACCCTGCTGCCCAGCAAAACCAGACTTGACCTTTCCATCCCCAGAGAGAATGTGTAAAGAGTCCAATCAAACAGCACCTGTAAGTCCAACATTTCACAATTCTCATTGCAAACGTGCCTGGAGGCCCAGAAAGCTCAGTTCTATCTTTCAATGGGTGAACATCAAGGTCGCAGGCCCTAATCTACGGAACTTAGGTCTGCCACCTCCATTCCGTCCTCATCTCCCTTTCATAAAAAGCTGGACTCAGTTTTTAATGAGGAAATGTGAGGACTGTTTCTAAATCTTCAGCAACGTTGCTCTGTCAACAGGAAAACTTCCAAAGAGGATGCAATATGAGGGGGAGCTAATGTCACCTATTTCAGACAGTCTTGGGTATCTAGATCTTCTTATAGGGTTGGGGAGTGGGCATCTGAAGCTGGCCACTGAACAGTAATTTCTGACATGTAAGATCATGGAGAAACAGTGACAGACGCCCATCAGACAAACCTTTCTGCCTCACCCTGAGAGAGGCAAGCAGCCCCACATTTTTGAAAGACTGAGTGCAGAAATGACAGTGCTCCCACAGCTGACTTTGGTAATGCAAGGTGCTGCTGCTCCCTGGCTCCTAACCTCTGGGATTTTTACCTGCTTCCAGGTGGAGAATCTTCTCTTTCCTACCCGGAGCAGGGAGGCAACAAGGCCATAGTAGCAGTGGCAGCAACAGCAGAAGGTCAGAGTTCACCCAAGTCCTAACCCTTCCCAGACACGATCACAAAGGACCCACATGTTTTGTAAGGGAGTTTCCCTCCAAAACCCCAAATATGGAAAATGGCCATCAGAAGGTGCAGGAAGTGTTAATTCTTTAAGACCAGCAATGAATCACACCCCAGTTACCGACTCTCAGGCAGCCCCCACAGTGCCAATTTGAAATATTTTAAAATGCAAAGCATCTTGTGACATAAAAGGAGCATTAACTCTAAACAAGAAATAGAATCAAAACAAGGAATTAGTTTTGCAACATACACATAACCAATCACGTCAGCGAAGGGTTGTCTGTAGAAAGCTTCATCTGCCACCCTAGACAGCAAGAGGTCCCAAAGGCAGGCAAGCAGGCAGGAGAAAAGAGAGAACATTGAGAAGCAGTGACATCTCAAATCCACAGCAGAGGTGCGGCTCCCGGCTCTGTCCTGGTCCCTGGGAGGCTTCCAGCCCTGGACGCTCCAGCGGGCCGAAGCTTCCCACTGGCCTCCCACATGCGGCTCCTCCATGACAGCAAGCAGGCAGCTTCAGCTCTGGGGCTTCCCCACAACACTTTAAAAAGCACCCACTTGTGAGCTAAGCCCCTTCACATACGGTATGTTGATTCAATCCTAAATAATCTATGCCACTGAGCACTCTCAGCCCACTTCACAGATGTGGGTAGCTGAGGTTACACTGAGATAAAGCAACTTGCTCAGTGGCAGCACAGTGGCAGTATTCAGAAGCCACAACCTAGGCAGCCTGGCGGTAAGTTCATTTCACTACATCAAACCTGTTCCCTAGCTGGTGTGTGCTCAGGAAGCCAAGTCACCCTTTTGCCAGCCTTGAGGCAATATCACTGGGCAAGAACACTGCTGGTCACCAGATGCCATTGGTCCTAAAGATGTAACCCTAGATCTCGGAATATCCAAACATCTTGCTTTAATACACTGGCTGGGAGGGTAACTTTCTGGTCTCTGGAGAAGAGCCCTGCTTCAGAGGAAAAAGCAGCTGAGGCTGGTGGTGCAGGGAAGAAATGTGGGCTCAGTCCTAGTTTCTGTGTGTCCCTACTTGAGTAAGGCTGGAGTGCTTTCTGCAGACCACGCTACACCAGACTTGGTGGCTTTGACGAAGGGCAGCCTAGATGCACAGCTTTATCCCTCCCGCTCTCCTCCCTTCCTTCCCTCCCTCCCTCCCTCCCTCAGAAGAGACAATGGACCAACATGGCAGGGTGCTAGCACTTCTGTGCAGGAGGGGGCACACTGCAGAAACAGGCCGGCTTTGACTTTGCTGCCCCAACTGAACTCCGAGCCCAGCCTCGCTCATCCACTCCCCTGGCCCCGGCTGAGCTGGCGGAGGGTGGAGACAAGTGGGATGGTACTTTTTAAAGGGTAATCATGCCCAGTCATTAACTTAAATACACATATTTATTTGAAGACAAATTCTAGTAATCTTAGCTTCAGTTTATTTTGAAACTCACACATACCCTTTTCTCTTCCATTTGGTTTATACACAGGAGGTGTTTTGTAGAAATTTAGAGAAAGCAAAAAGAGCAGCCTGATTGTAAGTCAAAGTGACCCAGCAGGGAAACAGAGTTGTTTGTGGATCAAGTGAGGAGAAGGGACAGGAAAGACAGGCCTGAGATCCTTTATAACCCTGAGATCCTTTCCTCCTTTCCGTTTACACAAAGGGCTATCCCTAAGCGATTTCAAATCAGCTTGCTCTTGACTGGAAGAGAAAAAAGGCTTGGTGACTCTTGTCAAGGCATCACCACCAAAAGGCCTGAGTGCCAGCCTCTGCTCCTCTGTGGCTGGCCTCAGGACCAGAGGGCTTGTCAGCAACAAGCACAGCTCCAGAGGGACAAGCAGAAACTTCCACACACTGGGCATGGGCAGCAGCATCTCCTCTGCTCCCCACTTCTAGGAGGCCCTGAATGTGGTGACTGTCAGCCTGGCAGGGTGGGCCCAGGGATCCATAGAGGACAAGGAGAAAGAAGGCCTGACCAAAGACAAGCTCTGGAGGCCTAAATACAATGCACAGCTCATTCGATAAATAGCCCCAAACAGACAGGTAAAAACAGAAAGAAAAGTGTGCCACTGCTGAAGAGTCATGGGTCCCCAAACTTTATCACACCTCCAAAGAGCTCGAAAGTCTCAGCACCAGTCACCCATAACAAAGCAATCTTTCTTTTGGCTTGGAAAGGAACCTGTTCTGGGGTTGCTCTCCATCAGTGAACTGCAGGAAAGGTTAGTGCTCTGACCCCTGAAAAAGGAGTTCTTTTACACTGAATAATTCATGACTATGCAGTGACACTTAGGCCCTGACTGATTAAAAGGAGACAGATGCAGTCTAAGGACTATAGGCCGCAGACTGTGCATGTGGGACAGGACTCACCTCCCTGCTGGATACTCTGAACCTCCCCTGAGCTTGGCCCAGCTCTGCTACCAAGCCTTGGTGACTGAGCAGGGAGAGAATCCAGACAGCAGGCTGCCTGGGACACACAATGAGCTACACCCCCCTTCTGTCTCTGAACCTCCTCTTTTGAGCTTTTCTGGGGTTTTTGCTTCATCTCTGGGGTTCTCTTAACATGCAGCTATTGCAGAAGTCACCAAGGGAGAATGACACTTGTTTCAAATGAGCACCCATCTTCTTTTCTAAAAATATTATTTACCTACACACAGATAAGGACGATGCAGCACTTCACTGACATTTACGGCAGCTTGTTCTTTAGACTCTAAAGTTTAGAGCCAAACATGGGTGGAGGAGGGGCAGTAGTTAGCAACAGCAAAAATCTCTAGGGAGGGCACATGCCATTAAAAGCAACTCTCCAAATGGTTCTTAAACAGTTACTGCCTCCACCCACTGAGGAGCCATTGAAATAAAGTGTGAAGACCATCCCTTCTGTCCTGGTTACGACGGCTAACATATCACCACCTGTAAGAATACAGTCTCAGGTGCATGTGGCAGTTTCCACAAGACAGATGACCTGGTTTCTAAACAGCTCTGTGCAGTGTGTGCTGGGAAAGTCTCTGCTCTCGGGAATTTGAGAGGTCTTAGACCAGCCCTCTGATATCCCACAATTCCATGTAGGCCTGGGCTGTAGCTCAATGGTAGTGTGCTTACCTAGCATGTGCAGGGGCTGGGTTCATTCCCCAGCACTACTAAAAACGAAAAAAGCACCGACAACCACACACAGAGTTCTAAGCAAAGAAGCTATTATAACCCCAACCCCAGAGAGAGTCATCACAGGCTGAGTGCTCATAACAGGTGTGCGTACTCTCCCATGACACCTGATTCTACACAGAGAGGTAAGCCTATTCTTTAAAATTTTTTTTACCATTTTTTTTGGGGGGGTCTTTTTGAGACAGAGTCTTGTTGTATAGTTCAGGCTGGCCTTGAGCTCACTTTGTAGCCCAGGCTGGTCTCCAACTCACAACAATCCTCCTGCCTCAGCCTCCCTGAATGCTGGGATTACAGATGTGCACCACTACACCTGGCTTTTTTTTTTTTTTTTTAAAGAGAATAAAACCAAACAAAAATAAAACAGAATAAAGCCAATCAAAACAGACCAACAGAAGCAATACAGGACTTCGAAACAACAGGAAATCAATAGTGGCTACCACAAAGCCTCTTGTTATCTTCAAAATAGCTGCTCAATGGGGCTGGGGATTTAGCTCAGCGGCATAAGCACCTGCCTTGCAAGCAGGCGGTCGTGAGTTCGATTCCCGGTACCGATAAAAAATGAAAAAGACAAAAAAAAAAAAAAAAAAAATAGCTGCTCATTTTAAATAGCATTGTAGCAAATAGGACTTGAAAGTATCTCTGCAACAGGAAGCTTGTTTCCAACATATTTATTATTTAAGTCTGAAAATCTGTGTCCAAGTGTTGCAGCCTTGGAGACCCTGTATGGGGAGTGTCAACCCACTGTGCCGAGTACAGTGGGGCAGCCCCAAGTGCTCAGGCAGCTTGCTGGGAACATCACCGCGTTCCCTCCTCTTTTGTTACAGCCCTGGACTTGCACCCGAGGAAATCCCCCAGAGCAGACACGTGGCCCAGGGGCCTACTTCATGCTGATCATAAGCTTACGAAGAAGTCCCAGACTGCTGGGTGGCAGCTACTGCTTCCTGCACCTGAAGCTCACCACTCAACAGTCCCCACCATACCTCCCTAAACTATCAAATGGACCTGACAGGTACTCAAGAAAACATCCCTTAGAGGAAGATGACCAAGACAGAGGTATGTGCCTGGCACCGAAGAGGCAGCTGACAGAATAAAAATGACCAAGGAACACAAAGAATGAAGGAAGGGCCGCTCCATGAAGAGTCCATCTAATCGGTCACAGCTGCTGCCTAACGGCATCAGTTGGCTGGTGAAGGTGGTGAGCCCACTTTCCCACAGACATCCAGCCAACAGAGATGCCAGAGACAAGGGCACATCACACAATCCACTTGCTTGACTACAGAAACCTAAGTTTCTATTTAGAGAATTAAAACCGTTTTCACACAAGGTGAGAGGAGTGACGACTCTTCAGCAAGGGTGAGCTCTGAACCTAGCAGAAGAAAGTGACCAATCCGCCTTTCCCAAGGGAAGCAGGCTGCATAGTTCTCTCTAAGCTACTTCCAAGAAGGAAAGACTTCTCAGAAGTAAAGTGTATTAAACACCACGGTTGGCTTGATAGTGATAAGAGAATGAATGAGTTTTCGCCCAAGTATTTAACCATCAGTAAGGGAATAAAAGATATTCTAAAAAAAATATTTTAAGATTTTCCTGTGGAATACAGTTTTCCTGTGGAATACAGATTTTTCTGTGGATACAATTAAGTATCCAGTGAGCTAAATTTTGAAGTCACTGTGTTGGATTATTCTTGGCTACCTAATTACAAAGCCTATTTCCATGGTAATGGGTCCTTTTACAAAACACCCTTTAGATGGGCAGGGTTGTATTCAGGGGATCCAATCTAAGCAAGTCTTTATCCACCGCTAAAGTAATGAGACCCTTGTCCATTCATGAAAATGGCCAGCTGAAAATTCCACATCATCCACAAAGACTTATGAAAGAATTTTCCCTTTCCTGAATTGCAAACCAAAGTTTAGAGCTGATGCAAACCAAAGTCTTAAAGAGTTAAACTGGCTACCATTTGGGATGACTCAAGAGGGCTGAAATTGTGCTCACTAAACCGAGGAGCCTTGTGACCACTGTGTTTCAAGTACCTTTTTGCAAACCTGCAAAGACAAGGCACACTGAACCAGGCAGCACTGAGAACCGAGGCTGAGCGCTCGGCCATGGACCCGAGTCAGCCCTGGAAAAGCAGCAGGGCCGGAGCTGACACAAACTCACCTGTTGTTCGCTTTTGTTTTTTGCAGCTGCTCGTCCTGCCTTGCATACCACTCTTCTAGCTCCTTTATGGCTTTTTCTTTCCACTCGGCTTCCTGCTTCCGAGAATTGGCGTCTTTGAAGGGAAAGACGGGATAGATGAAGGAAAGCACAAATTTAAGTTTTCTTCCATTTATTTTAATCTTACTAAATTTATGGTGGGTGTGGGTATGGGAGCCTATGTGTGTCTGAGGAAGAACAGAAGGGAAGGGAAGATAAAATTCCATTTTCCTCTTTTTTAATGATTAAACCCAGGCCCTCTGCAACTGAGTTACATCCACAGCCACTTTTTATTTTTGAGACACATGTCACCTAAATCACCCAGGATGGACTCAAATTTGTGATCCTCTTGCCTCAGTTTCCCAGAATGCTGGAATTACAGCTATGAGCCACCACACCAAGTTCTATTTTCAAACTTTGTACAACCAACCCTTTAGATTTTAGCAATCCTCTTTCTGGTCTTTCAGCATATCCCAGTCCACTGATACCTTGAGGAGTCATTAATTGACCCTAATTATGAACCAACTGAATTCAAATCAGGAAGCAAAAGGAGGGGAAAGGGTGCAAAAATACCAACTCTTAATAAGGGTGGGTGGAGTCTTTTGGTGCACCAACTGGGGAAAAGACAATCAGAGATGCCGCTTTAGTAACGGTGTCAATATTAAGTTTGGACTGAGGTATTCACATTAGATGATCAATACAACTACAGTCTTCATCCCAACTTTGACAATTAGTGGTTTTATAAAATACAAGATGCCACTCTTATAACTAAATATGGGAGAAGTGCTTCCATGAACCAGGGTCTGTGAGGAAAATTACCAGAGATAGAGCTGATTCAGGACTCCACGAATGGCAGATGACAGAACATTAAGGTCAGAAAGAACCGGTCCTAGACAGACTGCAGAGACTTCTTGGCAGAGCCAGGGAAGACTTACAAAAAAGAATTCCAATGGAAAGACTAGCATGGCTTCCAGTTACCAGTTCACCAAAGGCTCTAGAAATAACAGTAAGAAATGCACACCAGGCATGTTTGCCAGAAGGAAGTCTCAAACCAAGTCTCTTAGGCCTAAATAAAGTTTTCCCTACAACACACAGTTAAGTCAGTACACATCACCTCAGCTGATGTACTTGATACTTAAGTTACTCTACTTCAACAGGCTACCAGTGATTGAGACAAAGTTCTAAACATGCAGAGCAAGAGCCAACCTACAACTAGTATCTTTGCGAAGAATAAGAACATAGTGACAATGTCAAGTGGCAATGTCAAGTAACTACTTGAAGGGAAAAAGAAAAAAAAAAAAGCCAGTGGCACTCTTGGGTATTTTTAGTCTTTGCAAGAAATGTCTTACAGAAGTAAATTCTAGAAAGCTGTTTCTACAACTAGAAGAAATAGCCTCAAAAGCTGAAAATTCTCTTAAAGCTTCAGACTACAAAGAACTTTTCAGAAATTATCTTACTCAGACTTTCTACTGATGGCTGTAAAGTGGATCATTAAACTCCTGCAATGCGCCTAATCGCAGCGGAGTGTGAATGTGTAGTGGGGTGCATGCTGCCACAAGGTGCTATGGGTGGGGATGCCCTGTGAGCAAGACGCTGAAAAACACCACACACTTTAAATGCAAGCTCTCCTTTGACAGTGGGGAAATTAACTTCAGAAGAGCATTTTATGACTGGGGAGTACTCACTTTCATTGTTCTCTACCAACCTTTAATAAACCTTTTACTATGTACTAGGACTATCATGGAATTTTTCAAAAATAATTTTGGAGGGGGCTGGGGATTTAGCTCAGCGGCATAAGCGCCTGCCTTGCAAGCAGGCAGTCATGAGTTCGATCCCCAGTACCAATAAAAAGGAAAAAGACCAAAAAAAAAAAAATAATAATAATAACAATAATAATAATTTTGGAAAAAGCATTCTAAATAAAAACTGAACCATTTGTAACAGAGGATAGTTACTGCATAAAACACTTCACTGTGACCTGGCACTGACATTTAAGAAGTGCCACTGGCAATAATAATTCAGTTTTTCAATGTTTAGCCTGACAAGATAAAACATCCATGCCTGGAACAATCTCTTTTGAGGCCAAAAGGGTGGAAAAGATAAACTGTCCCCCTTAGCGAGCAAGGCACACTGACAGGTACCTCTTCTGACTACTTCATTATTGTCTGCAGACAGGAAAATTATTTCGGAACACAGTCAGCAACCACGCTGAAAGCCACTGACACTGATTCTCTCTTAATGTCTTGTGCTTTTTCACAGTACTCACAGGGAAAAAGGTGATAATTGAAGAAACACCTTATTTGCAAACCAATTCAACTGGAATGTAAGGCCAAATGTCCACCTTTCCTCAAGAAGGTCTTAAATTAAGAGAACAACTCTCAGCCAAGCATGGCGGTACACACCTATAATCCCCGGATTTGTAAGACTAAATCAGGAGAATCAAAAACTGAAAGTCAGCCTGGGGTACACACTGAATTCAAGGCTGACCTGGACGATATCGGGAGACACTGGCTCAAGAAAGAATGAAAGAAAGGATAAAAGAACAAGAGAAAGTTTTCCACCACCAAAGAATATCTCTATGAAGAGGACAAATTTTGCTAATGTTAGGAAAAGAAAAGATAAACTAGGTTCAATAATGCTAAATATATGAGTATCAGCTAAGTACTGTCTTTAAATCTAACCAAAAGATACACAAAGAATAAGTAAGGACTACAGTTGCTAGCATCTTAAGACCTATGTTCACTTTCCTAAGCTGCACTTATCTGACAGAGCAGCTACTATGCAGCTACTTTCAATAAATTAATTTCTCAAAAGCTGGACTGGTGGTGCATGTCTGTAATCCCAGCACTCAGGAGGCTGAGGCAGGAGGATCACTGTGAGTTTAAGACCAGCCTGGGCTACAAAGTGAGCGCAAGGCCAGCCTAAACTACATAGTGAGACCCTGTCTCAAAATAAATAAATAAATTCATTAATTAATTTCTCAGTCACACTAACCACATTTCAAGTATTTAAGAACTGTATGTCGGTCAGTGGCTGCCATGCTGAATAGCGCAGTATTGAGGATTTCCATCATTAAAGACTATTATATAGTACTGTTGTTCAGGTTCAAACTTAGATACATCTTTGTTCTAAAAACTACATAAACTAGATACAAAAAATATGGCATCAATCAGCTTTGTCATCTGGGCTAAGTCCTTTCCTACCTCTGGGTGTCAGCTACCCCATCTGAAAAAGGAATCATGTTTTCACTAGGTCAGTGGCTACCAAGAAGGAATGATACACCTCACATTACTGTTACACAGAATGCCACTGATTCTAGATGTACAGTGAAATTATTTAGACACAAATATGTATCTTTTCTTTTCTTTTTTTTTTGGTCTTTTTGAGACAGGGTTTCACTATGCAGTTCAGGTTGGCCTTGAATTCACTTTGTAACCTAGGCTGGCCCCAAACTTGCAGCATTCATCCTGCCTCAGCCTCCCAGAGTGCTGGGATTACAGGCCATGCCATCATGCCTGGCTGCACTTTTTCTTTCTTTCTTTCTTGCTTGCTTGTTTGGCTTGCTTGCTTTTTCTTTCTTCAAAACAGGGTTATAAGGTCAAATGTAGCCCAGCTCACTTTGTAGCCCAGGCTAGCCTCAAACTCGCAGTGACCCTCCTGTTTCAGTCTCCCCAGTGCCACCGCAGTATGTACCTTAAAGCAGATAGGCTAATAAAAAGTCCAGGTAGTCAGGTGTGATGGTACATACTACACCAGCACTCTATGGGGATTAAACAGGAGGGTCACAAGCTTGAGTGTGACCTGGGCAACATAGTGAGACCTTTTCTCAAAACGTAAAGGGGCTAGAATATAGAGCACAATAATCCCAGGACTCAAAAAAAGGGGCCAGGGTGTAGCTGAGTGGCAGAACACTTACCATACATAAGGCCAGGGTTCCATCCCTAGCATCACACAGAAAAACTCCAGACCCTCTGATTAATACAAATTAAAAGGGGATAGAGGTAGAATTCAGGTCAACTACTCTACTGAAAACAAAGATAGAAAGGGAATCCTTACCAAGGGCTTCCAAACGTTCGGTTTGCTCTTCTCTCCATTTACGGATACTTTCAGGTTCTGACTGCAATCGATCCACTTGTGAAACAGCTGCATAACTGTCTGTTGGACCATTACTCTCCTTAACACAAAACATAATTGTGCTTTATCAGTGCCCAAAACTCCTTGCAACGAGTTTCACAGAAACTAGAACCTTTGGTTACATACAGCACTGGTGGTTGTTGTGAAACATTAAAAGATTACCTTAATAGCAACAATACAACCTTATGTGTCAATGGAGTACTTTCAACACCACTGCACTGAATCCTTACAATCTCTGGAAGAAGAATAGCTGTTGTCTTAGCTGTTAACACGTGGGTGTTAAGTGGAAAAGCTGGGGGCCAGTAGTTAACAGATATAGTAAGAAACTGTTAAATTTGCTTCCTCATCTGACAGAGATTATGTGGTACCTTCAAAGTTAACAAAGTACACAACAAAGCAAGTTCCACAGCCCCAGAATTCTAAATGCTATTATATCATCTATAAAAAGGTCGATACCATGTAATCATAATACAGAAAATTCTAAAAAGGAGTCCAAAAAGAAATGTATCAGTACTATAGGTATACCAGGGAGCAGGCAGGCAAATACAGGGGTACGGCCTGGGGTGACCCCCAACACAACTCTTTACAATAGGTAAGATTTGGGAATTAACAGATAAATTGGTAAGGGTCAAAGTGATGGAAAAAGGCTCCAAAGACTAACATTTGTTGAACTAGAGAATATTATCAGCTTAATGTAGTAGACTACAAAGATGGAAAGAAACTTATTTGGTCATTCACTTGTTACTGTATACTGATACAATACATGACACACAGGATTGGCTATTGTCATTAGTGGGAAGGGCCATTTCTTGAGAATAAATGTCATTTACACCAGGGCCAGGTCAGTAACATATTAACAGTTCCCTTCCTATTAATAGGACCTCTTTTTAAAACCTTTTACTTTGTTAATATAACAGCAACTACTATATCCAAAAAGTCAAAGGACTGGCTTTTCTTTGTAACCCAGTCAACTGAAAGTACAGGAAAAGGATAGCTCTTAACCATTATCATAGAACATAATGTATTCTATACCTGGTAGTATTCTCCATTCATCACTCCATCAACAGCATCTGCAAGAGATAAGATTCCAGTCTGTCAGTCAGGGCTCATCAAATGCTGGGCCAAAGAATTACATAATGGAACTGCTGTATGTGGCACATACTGTGAACTACAAAATGTTAGCCCTACCATCGGTACTAGATGTAACCACTTTTTATTGAATGAAACTAAGATGCACTTAAATACAAATGACAACTACTGTAACTTCATCAAAATGTGAACAAGCTGTTCCTAACCTCCCAAGTTCAAAACCTTTTAAGATTTTGTATTTTGGGGGGCTGGGGATTTAGCTCAGTGGCATAAGCACCTGCCTTGCAAGCAGGCAGTCGTGAGTTCGATCCATGGTACCAATAAAAAAAGGAAAAAGACAAAAAAAAAAAAAAATTTGTATTTTGGCTTAAAGATGGCAAATGGAAGCCTGGCAGAAGAGCCACATAGAGCAAGTGTTTCTCCAGGAAAGATCTGGAGAAAGTAAAGTTTGGCCCAGAATCATCAACAGTGAGCAAAGCCATCAGCTTCCTTTTCAAACCAGGGTGCTTTCTGGGACTCTATGCTATGGCTGGCCCAAGTTTGGTACCTAAAGGTCCTCAGTTGAGAATTTTTGTTAATTCCTCTAGTCCAGTGATAGGTTCTCTACCAGTAGCCCAAAGCAATCATGATTTGAGCATGCCAAAAGTCCACGTTTTTAAGGATCTAAGATACAGCTACTCCAGGCATGATGTGCAAGCCTTTTTGGCACATGAGTATTCGTGAGATATGTGAGAAAGTCCACCTTAAAATGTTTTTCCTTTAAGTAAGACCTATACATCTTTTATTCATTTAACACAAAATGGTCCCACAGACTAAACATAATTTAAAATACATAGTACCAAGTAAAAGTTTTTTAAATATCAGAATTTTCGTAACAGTCTGCATGTCCCTCTGAGGAGCTGCCGGCCTCCTCTTGAAAGCCTCAAAGTAATACTCTATCAATATACTCTATTGTCTATTGGTTTTGCAAATTTACACTACCTATTGTGCAGGACCTCTATTATCTTAACCTCAACTTTTCGAACTTTGGCAGTGACCGTCTTACTGCATGAAGATGGATGCAGAAGAGAGAAGAGATGCAAGAGCCCAGGTAACAACAGAAATGCCAGTCAGCCAGCATGGGCCACCATTATGAGGCTCTCACAGGGTGGTACATGGCAACACCAATTTTCTAACGGTCTGAGGCAGGAGACTCTGTCTTGATTGTTCCCTCCAAGGAAAACATTGCATCAAATCATTTTGCTGGCTTTCTTGATTCCCAACTAGTTAAACCCAAGTTAAATTGCCTAATACCTCATCAGTTCTAACATTTTATTTATTCTTTTTCTTTTCCCAATTCCTCCTGACTCTGAAGCCACTGAAATTTTTATAGTTTATTCCTCCACCATGCTCTTCTTGATACAAAACATGCCTTTTTAAGAAAGAAAATGGAGACAGAAGAAAATACCATGTGATCTCATCACTCAGCCCATTGGTTTGCATCTTTTTTTCCCCTTGCAATACTGGGGCTTGAACTCAGGGCTTTTGCACTTAGCTACATCTCCAGGCTTTAAAAAACAAAAATTGCATTTTATTTTGAGTCAGGGTCTCACTAAGTTGCCCAAGCAAGGCTTAACCTTGGGATCCTCTGGCCTTAGCCTCTCAGAGTACTGGGGTTACAGGCATGCACCACCATGCTCAATGAAACAACAGGCATTTAATGTCACTTACTTTATTTTTTTCTTTGCCAATATAAAGAAAAACACTAACTGCCTTTAAAATGTAGTGGTGAGAGTGGGCGGTAGCTCACTAGCACGTGTGAGGCCCTTGGTTCAGTCCCTAGCAATGCCACCTCCGCCCCCTCAAAAAAGTGACAGGAACCCTGAGTAAGCCAAGATGCCACAGCATCTATTAATGTGGTACACGATTACAAAGTCTTCTAAGCACAGAACCCACCTCAGCACTGACCTGTACTGAATGCTGGTTTTATGTATTTTATGTAAACATACCTCCCCCATTGTTCCTGACCTTATTTCTGTTTCATATTTGTGTTTTGCTTGTTTTTTCTAGTGTTGGAAACAGGAACTATGGCTTCACACAAGCTAACAACCATTCCTGTGCTTTACAAGAGTACAAAAATGAATTCCTCTCTCTTTCTTCAGACACAGTCTCACAGGTAGTTCAGGCTAGCCCTGAACTCACTATATTTAGCCCAGGCTGGTTGTGAAGTTGTGGTGAGCCTTCTGCCTCAGTCTCCCAAGTGCTGGGATTATAGGTGTGCATTCACCATGCCCAGCTATCCTTTTTTAACATTTTCTGAAATTTGGGTTTATTATGTAGCTCAGGCTGACCTATTTGAGGCATATTTGATCCTTTGCCTCAGCCTCTTTAACAAAAATATTTTATACATTTTTTGCCAGTGACCTTTTACCACGATATGCTTTAAATATAAAAGAAAAATGATTTTATTTTAAAAGCAAAACAAAAAATAAAGACAATGATACAGAATTTTTTAAAACAAAGTTATAGGAATTTAACACTAGTTAATATATTACATATTGTTATCTTCAAAGTAGCTGTTCAGTTGAAAAAAATGATCAAACAAAGCATAAACTCTTCTTTCTGATGAACAAAGATTAGTAGTATAGTTATTATCCACCAAGTTTTAGAAAGACAAAGTTCATCAAAAAGTGAATGAAAGTGCTCTAGAGCACGTCAACGGCTCCTGGGTCGGAGCACTGCTAGGTCACAGGCTTCGCACCTGGGAGACTTGGGAACCACCACCTCCTTGCCCAATCAGCTTGCTAGTTCGAGTTACTAACATGCGAGTGCGGTTCTCAAACCCTCACTGACAGGAGACTGTGATATCATGGTTTTAATTTTCTGCTAAACTGATATTAGAAAATAATAGGCTTGGTTGTGCCTATTATATACCACACCGGACACAGGATTTTTCTTCTTTACTAAACTGAATCTTGCTCATTCTTTTCGCTATCACTGGATCTCTAAGTATTTTCCATTAGTAATTCTCTCATATTGCAGTTATTACCTCCCTCTTGTCTTTTAATTTGATTTATGGCATTTAACATCCAAGAACTACTTAATTTCTATGTAGACACTATCAGTATTTCCTTCATAATCCCTGCATCTGCTTTTATGCTGAAGGCTTTTCCTACGGTAAGGTAAATACTCACTTTTCCTATAGTCCTTTTTAGAATGCCACTCTTTAATCCATCTAGATTTATTTTTACGTTAAGTTTTAAATCCTAGACCTACAATGGCTACTTTGACCAAGTCGGCACTATGGTTAATATATTACAGCTTCACATACCAACTATCCAGTTAATATATTCCAGCCCAGGGCCACTTTCAGAAGGGTAAACACGGATCACTACCTCATATACAAAACTAGAAACAACCCTTATCTTATGTCTCCTAAATTACATATTAGTTGTTCTTTACGTCTCTGAAGACTCATCCATATCCAGTGTTTGGGGTGTGCTCTGGATCTTTATTACTGTAGTATTATAGTAACACTCATTTTGTTTGTTTTTTGAGACAGGGTCTCGCTATGTAGTTCAGGCTGGTCTTTTTTTTTCCAGGCTGGTCTTGAACTCACTACGTAGCCCAGGCTGGCCTCGAACATGTGGCAATCCTCCTCCCTCAGCCTCCCAAGTGCTGGGATTACAGTATGTGCCACCAAGCCCAATTTATACTGCCATTCTAATATGAATCGACAACTGATCCAAGTCAAAGGATAGTCCGTAAGTAACAGAAACATCTAGGCCCTTAACTTACTAGGACAGCTAAGCTAAAACTGAGCCACTAATTAGCTTATTACTTCAGAAACACTGTTTAACTTTAATGGGTCACTTCAGCAGTGACCCATTCTCACGCAAAATATGATGGCATTACCATTCAACTTACAGAGCATACATAAATGTACAGTACACTTAAATAGTATGTATGAGATTTCCCTAAATTTCCCTCTACCACTGCTACCAATAAAATTCATCCACTTCTTCCCTCCTCCAAGAAAGGACACGTCAGAAACACAGTAACGAGCGCCTTTATCACTTTTCCTCTGCCCTCCATCCCACACTCCTCTAAGCCCTTAGGAGTGACGGCCACCTCTGCTCTACTGGCCCTTCCTTCCTTTCCATTTTTTTGGTTGGTTGGTTGTTGTTTTGGTACCACAGATTGAACTCACGATCTCACACTTACCAGACAAGTACCTCCCAAACCACTGCACCCAGCTGACTGTCTCCTACCTCTACACTTGAGTTTCTTCTCTGGATCACCTAACAACTGAGGGAATCATCCAAGGCTCAGTTGTTTCTGCCTGTGCCCATTCTCTTTGAGAATTACCTCTTTACCTCTCTCCTCTAACTGTTATAGCCAACTACCGGCATCTTCTGGTTGAAACAGAGGACCTATCTAAAATCTCAATTTACTCAGTATAACGCAAAGCTAATAAACTCCTTCATCCTGCCCTCCAAAAAGAACAGCATCTAAGATTCACTGTTTGCTTACTAGTAAGCACTTTACAATACTCTTTAACATGATCCTAAAAATTACATACGGCATGTATTATGCACCTTTTATACAGAAGAAAACTAAGGCAACAGTGATAGTTACATAAATTATCTAAGACCACAAAGTTGCATTCATATTCAAATGGATGGGCATGACGGTACACACCTGTAATTCCAGCACTTGGCTACAAAGTGAGTTCAAGGCCAGCCTGAATTGCACAGAGGAAACTTATCTCAGAAAGACAAAAACAAAAAACCCCAAAACAAACACTCAAGTAGCAAAGGGGTGCACAGAATCCTATCACTAGGGTGACAATGGGGGTGGGGAGTGCGTGCATGAGTAGATCAAGTTCTCTAATCCCAAAAGGAACTGCTGACCACTGCACTATTACCAACCTCAACCACACAGTCAGGGATCTGGCATTAAGTCACTGAATGCTTAGTCCTTTAAGAACGCCTTTTCCAGGAACTAAGTCAGCAATCATCCCTTTCCTTCCCTTTGCTGAAGGCTTGATACACAAAGGGCTCCATCCTATCTTCTTCCTTTTACTTTCCCAAATTGCCTACCAGCAAGATTCACACGTTCTATACATACAGGACTCTCTTGGAGCAAGTATATGAGCCTGTGCTAAGTGCCAGACACAACAGTGAGTAAGAGTAACATTATCACTGAACCACGACAGCCCTCTAACTCTGGGTCCTCCTTCTCCCAATGCTGTGCTAGCCTGAACAGTCCCAAGTGGTTTTCTTTCATCCCACCATACACATGTTTGTAGGTGGCTAAAACACCCACAAAAGTGTAGTACAGTCTAAAGTTGGGGAGCCAGACAGAAGCCTACCCTCTTGCCCATCACATAATGCATGCTTGTGGGAGCCTGGAGTTCTGCCATCTATTGAAAGTCAGCCTTAACAAAGGGTTTGTAAAAGAAGATGAAAAAATCAATGATAGAAAATGTTTTTAAAAAGTGGGGATACTTGGGGCTTGTCTATGAATACATCCTTTTTTCTGAAGCAAGTCCCCTCTTTAGGATTCAATTTGTTCTTCTACTAAATGAAGGGGTAAACTAAGGATCTAAAAAGTAGGAATGTTTTCTGGTAAATGTTAGAAACTTTCCAATAACAAAAAAAGGCCTAGGTAATTATATTAGCTCAGTGACATAGCGCCTGCCTGGCAAGCGCAAGGTTGTGTGTTCAATTCCCAACACCAGACACACACACATACACACACACTCTAATCGCGTAAAGCCTGCTTCAACTTTCAGTCACTTGCCCAGTTCTGTTCCACCTGCTGTCTGTAAACTGCATACTGAGTTTACCACATGTTGTTCTGGGGAACTGATTTGCTTAAGGGGTGGCAAAAAAACCCCTCAAGACTGCAAACTACTCTTTACTCCCTGCAAAAGGATTCTGCCTGGCTGGCACAGAAATTCGAGAATTGTCTCAAATACACACAGATCACCACTCTACTTCGCCAACGTTCCTTATTGCCTCAAGCCCCACCTAACTCTCATGTGGCACCTCAAGGTTTGAGTTTAGGGCGGTACAGACCCTCTCATCTGCCCTAATAGGGCTCTTTTTTCCTTTAGTTGGAATGTTTTATTAATTAAAAGTCACGTCTCCTTTCATCTAGCTAATTTTCTACTCTATACTACTGACAGGTACAGTCCGCTTAACAACCCCCACCCCAATCCAAAGCATCACACTAAGGCAAGGCATTCAAAGTTCAAACTGTCATCCTACCCACCCCCACCGTCCACCTCGTGGCGGGGGGGGGGGGGCGCACACTGCATTCTCTTCTTCCCTCGCTGATTGGCCTAGACTAACCTTGGGGTCTTCTAAGGCAATTCTGCTTACCAAAGCTGTTCCTAGAGGAGGAAGAGCTCTTCTAGGAACTCAACAATGACAAAGTCCTAAGCCCTCCGGTCCGGAGTTTCTCTCTGCACGGCTTGAGCATCTTTCCTGAGTTCCTTACTCCTCCGTTCCTCCCCACACTCCAGCACTGTACATTTTAAATGCTGAATTACATCGCCGTTTATGTTTCTATGTCTCAAAAACGCTACTATTATTCTAAAGATAGCTAAAAATAAATCTTTCTGCCTTCCCTTCCAGTAACTGGTTCTTTCCAGGCTCAGAGCTGCCTTTAAATCTGACCGAACTGCGCCAATGCGGCTGCTTCAGACACCTGGCTTAAAGCACTGCAACTGCTTGATGAAAAGTTAAACGGAAGGGGCTTCCTCCGGTTCCTGAGCCTCACAGCAACCCAACCCTATCTGGTTTCTCGCTCCGCCGCGCCCAGCGACACCCGATACTCAGAACGGGACAGGCTTCCCGGGCTGAGGCTTCTGCATCACTGGGCCGGGGGCTCGTTTCCGCTTTGTGGTCTTCCCTAGCCTGGGGCTCGGGAGAACACGGGCCAAACGGAAACTCTCGGAGCCACTCTGGGCTAAGTTTCTCCACAACTCCTCCCGCCCCGAGCGCGCCCGCACTCTCACCCGGACCGCCCGGCGGCTCTCCGTGCGGCTGAGGCCCGGGGGCACCGCCGTCCAAGATAGCGAAGGCCTCGTCGTTCTCGATGCCCGCGATCTCACTCTCCTGCTGCGCCAAGAAGGCCGCGGCCGGGTCTTCCTCGCCGGCCACCCCGTTCCCTAACGCGGAGCCGGCGGGGGCGCCGAACGGATCTAGCTCAGCCATGGCGGGCAAGTCAACGGCACTGACGACACCAACGCAGAGAGTCCTGCTGACTGACACACGTCCACGGCACCCGGCAGCGGCCGCTGTGGTGGCGACTACCGTAGGAAGACGAGCCGGAGGGGCGGAGCGGGGGAGAAGGTAGAAACGGAAGCCCTGCCACTATATCCGGTCGGTCTGAGCCGCGCAGAGAGCCGGAAAGGGAGCAGCCAATCCGGAGTGAGCAGCTGTCCAATCGGCGCGCAGCAGGGCGGGCCTCGGGGAAAACCCGTGACTGGGAGGCCAGTGCGCCCCGCGGCGGGGGCTGGGCAGGCGGAAGTGCAGTCTTCTGAAAGCCAGCTGGCCTTGGCGGCTGCGGGCTGGAAGCTGACGCGGCTCGGCCCTCTTTGAGAGTCTCCAGATGAGGTGAAGTTTGGATAGCTGCGGCTAGCGGGCTTCAAAACAAGCCAGTTAGGCTTTTTGAATCTTAGTTCCCTGGTTTTAAAAATGGGGATAAGCCCGCACTGCTTCCCTCCTGGGATTGTTGGACTGGGTTTATTTTACAGACCTGGACTGGATTTATTTTTATTAAGAAAAAATAGTAACTCACATAGTATAGGTTGTTTGCTCCTTGGGGCCGGCTGATGTAGATTAAATATAATTGATTTTATGTCTGAATTTTCCCACCTGTAATTCAGCCGAGACCAGAGGAGTGCGAGTTCCTTGAGGCCAGCGTGTGAGACTTGGCGAGTTCAAGGCTGGCCTGGTCTGCCCAGAGAGACTGGTCTCAAAAACAATGAAAATGTCATTTTTACAAAAAAGCGGGCCCCGAAGAACTTGTTTTTTCTTTCTCTTTTTGAGACGGGATCTTGGGATGTAGTTCAGGCAGGCCTAAAAGACTGAGACAAAGAATATATCTTGGGCTAAGGGCTTTTGAAGCCAATATAGTATGCCATTTTGAAGCTGGGGTAGGTTTCTAGGAGTGGAAAATTCCACAGTGAGCACCTGCTTCACCTAGTGTTTCAGGGGATAGTGGCCAAGAGGAAACCCGAATTTCTTGGGACTTCCGTGATAGTTCTATTCACAGCCCCTGTGTACAAACCGTTCCCAGCATAGAACAGCAGAAACTTTCTTCATGTCGAGTTCTTCACTACCTGGGCATGGTGACACTTGGGAGGCTGAGGCAGGAGGACCACCACGTGCTGGAGACCACCCAGGGCTACATAGTGAGTTCAAGGCTAGCCCGAAGTACATAGGATTTAAGTTAAGTGTTTTTTTTAAATCAAGGACATAATAGTAACATGGCTAATTTTTCCTACACCATAGGACAAATAATCCCAATTAGTCATGCTCACGTTGAGGAAGATTTTGTCTTGAGGAGCGAGTGCAGGGTGCTTATGCAGTGACAACAGAATCTTTCTCATTCACCACCTTAACAAGTAAAGACAAAATACGTCAGGTGGCACCAGTCTGTAGTCCCAGCAGCTTGGAGGTTGAGCCAGGAGGATCCCTCGGTTGAGGACAGTTTGAGCAATAGAGAGACTATTTCAAGGGAGGGGAAAAGAGGTAAAACCTAGAAAAAAGACGAGTGTGGAGCTTAGGGACCTTGGCCTTGAGCGACAGTATCCTGGATGTGTCTATAATTGGAGGCTACAGTAAACACAGGTATTTAGAAACTATTTGCCATGGCAGCCAAGGAGTTTGAGAGTCCCACGCCCATCTACCATCTTCTCCCTGGTGCTAGCCAGTCCAAGATAGATGATGTCAGCTCACTACCTACAAGGTCCCCAAAAGCTGTGCAGCTGAAGAAGGAGATCTCCCTGCTGAGTGGGGTTAGCCTGGTGGTGGGCAACATGGTTAGTTGAGCGATTTTTGTCTCTCCCAAGGAGGTGCTGCGAGACACTGCCTCTGTGCCCCTACGGGTCATATCACTGGTTATGTGAGCCTTTGGTAGTCTCTTCTGTTCTGAGTGCCCTTGGTTATGTGGAGCTGGGGACCACCATCACCAAGTCAGGGGCCTGTTATGCTTATGTTCTAAGGCCTTTGGAGGCTTTGCCTTCATCCTGTGGGTCTCATTGCTGATTGTTGAGCCTAGCAATCCGGCCATCATTTCCATCACCTTCACCAACTGTGTCATTAGCCCTTCTTCCCCTCTGCGATCCCCCATCCTGACCTGCCATCTCCTTGCTGACATCTGTGAACTGCCTGTGTCAACTGGGGCACATGAGTACAGACAGAGTGCATTCACTTAGCCTAAGGTGCTAGCACCAGTCATTATCACAGGCCTTGTTGAGCTGCGTCAGGGTCACTGAACACTGTCAAGATGCCTTTGAGGGTTCTTTTTGGAATGTGGGAGACCTCTCTCTGGCCGTGTACTCTTCCCTCTTCTCTCTTGTCATACTTGGGTTAGAACACCCTTGATTTTGTAACAGAAATAAAAAAAACTCTGAAAGAAATTTGCCCTTGGCTATTGGGATCTCCATACCAGTTGCAATGCTGATTTATATCTTGAACAGTGTGGCCTGTTACACAGTGCTGAGCGTTTCAGATGTCTGGATCAGCGATGCAGTGGCTGTGACATTTGCTGACCAGACGTTTGTCGTGTTCAGCTGGATCATTCCCATTGCCGTTGCCCCATCTTGCTTTGGGAGCTTTAATGCTTCACCAGGGTTGTTCTTTGTGGGCTCCCAAGAGGGCCATCTCCCAGACCTGTCCATGGTCTACTATTAACATTTTACACCCATCCCTGCTTTATTGTTCAGTTGCACTATGACCCTCATGTGCCTGATTGAAGATGTTTCCTTGCTCATCAACTACTTCAGCTTCAGCTTCTAATTTTCTGTGGGCCTCTCTGTTGTCCAACTCTGCTGGAAGGAGACTGACCAGCCCCTGCCTCTAAAGCTGAGCCTGTTTTTCCGAATACATTTTGCATATGCTCCATGTTTCTGGTGATTGTGCCTCTCTTCAGTGATACCATCAATTCCCTCATTGGTGTTGGAATTACTCTCTGGGGTTCCTGTTTACTTGCCAGAGTCCTGGAGACTACTCTTTGTTCAGAAAGTCCTGGCTGCTATTACCAGCTTTATTTTTGCATCCTGACTGAGCTAGATGCAGCCAAAGAAAGAAAGGCTGAGAGAAGATTGACTGGAGGCTAGAGGTGACATCCCCCAAGATTCACAAGACTGACTACCCGTGACCACAGCCACATCCTTGAATTAAAAGAACTTGTCCATTTACATTCTGTAAGGGTGCTCCGGGCCACCACTCACCCATTGGTAAGCTATGGGGGCATTCTCAGAGTTGGGACCTCAGGGGAAATTGAGGAGAGAGAAATGTTAGTATCCCTCTTGATAGATAGGTACAGTCCTGGAAAAACATTTGATAAGTTGCAGTGGGGAAGAAGGAATGCTAGGCTAATGACCAGGGCTGGTGGTTTACAGCAGTTTGAAGCAGGAATCTACCAGAGGCTACTTTTGGGGAAGTTTTCCTCTGATCTGGTCCATCCATCTGACTTACAATGTTTTTTCGCTGGCTCAAAATTCTTCTCTGGAGAGAGGGTTATAGGGCTTTTGGGTTTTGAGGGAATGGACAGCAAAACTTTATTTAAACAATATGAGAACAGTGTTTTTCCCATTTCCCAAATTCTGCAAGGAGAATACATGTCTTGGATCTTCACACTCCAGCAGTATGCTGATGGAAAGAGATCATCAGCATTTCAGCAGTGCCCTCTGAAGAATTATGGGAGCAGTGTTGCTTTCCGTTGCTAGAGGCCTGATAGGGCTGTCGACTCGGGAAGCTCTTGTTAACTCGTAGACTTTCATTTTCTCTATGGACATCATTGAAGATCCAGGGAAAGGCTGCTTCAGCCTCAAATGACTGACTGTAAGAGTGGAAGCAACTACTTTGGTGCTCAGATTGGGTCATCAAGTCAGGCTGGCGCAAGAATCTTCTTGGACAGGATTGCCACACTGGCTTGTGTAGCAGTTCATCTTGGGCCAAAAGAAGCTGCTTGCTTAGCACCCTTTATGGACTACTTGTCTTTAAAATTGGTCAATAGTAAATATAAGAACTATGAGGGGAAAAACAAAAAAAAATGACAACAGGAAAAAAAAAAACCCAAAGCAAACCAGAAACAACAAAAACCAACCAGAGATCAAAGATGCCTTCAGAGATAGTGAGAGGTAACAAAACGAACTTCTAAAAAAAACATGCATTTTTGATGGGAAAAAAAGGTAATTACTTAAAAAAGATAATCACTAAAACACTTTTGGTGTTCGTTTGTTTGTTTGGTTTGGTTTTTGGAGACAGGGTCTCCCTATGTATTTCAGGTTGGCCCTGAACTCTATGTAGCCCAGACTGGCCTCAAACTCACTACCACATAGGAGACCCTGTCTCAGAAAGATGGGGAAAAAAGTGTGCTGGAGCTCAAACTCTGTAGGGTTTGATTCCAAGGTGAGGATTATTCCATATGTACAGAGGCCGTAAGGAGCCCTCAAATTTGGCCAGACCTCTATTTTGAAAGTTGTCGGTAGTTCATCAATTCTAAGCATAAGGGAGGGCTCAGAAAGCAGAAAAAAGAGCTGCAATGTCAGGAAAAAGGCGACGGGTCACAGATGATATTCTAGGGAATAGAGTAGAGGGCTCAGGTGACAGAAAAATAATGGACACAAGCTGGGATCTTGGCACATGCCTATAATCTGAACACTCAGGAGGCCGAGGCAAGAGGATTATCGTGACTTGAGCTATAGTGAGTTCAAGGCCAGCCTGAACTAAAAGTGAGACCCTCTCTCAACTAAAGAACAAAAACAGAATGATAGCTTATGGAGGTGGGGGAGGGAGACAGGGAAGAAATATTCACAGATTAGATTTATAGCTTTGAAAACCATGACCAGAAAGAACCACAACAGGAAAAGCAAGTTGGGTGATTGGGCAGTGGGTGAGGCAGTTGGGGTTTAATGTGAATGCAGTGAGCACAGAACCAGACACACAGAGGGGGCTTTCAGCAGGATACTGGAACTGAGGCTGAGCTTCTAGAGACAGAAGGTTCTGTGTCCAGAAACAGTGGACAGCTTTACAACTCCTCTACTGAGAAAAATTAGAAATGCTAGGGAAAAGTTTTCAAGCCCTGTCTGAAGGCATCAGAGCTGCACACAGCAGTGTGGAATTA